GAGCGGATCCGCCGCGCGAAACAGCCGGACCCGCCGGGGACGCGCGACGGGGTCGGATTCGTACCGCTTTCGCGGCGGCTCGCCCGGCGAGGAACGGGGGGGGAAGGGGGGTTCGACCCCCCCGGACGGGGGGTCCCTTCCGCGTCCGCCGGGTCGTCGTCGTCGTCGTCGCTCGCGGGTTCCGCGGAATCCCGGGCGCGCGCCCAGCGCGTTCGCAGCACCCGCGCGACCCGCTCGAGGTGCCGGTCGGTCTCCGTGAGGTGGAGATCCCGCGTGAGGGTCAAAGGGGGGTGGGCGTGAGACGGGCATCGAGGATCCTCCTCGTTGAGGTCGTTCTCCGCCTCGACGTAGGGCTCGGCTTCGGAAAGCTCCATGAAATCCCCCACATGGGGGGCATCGAAAAGCAGCAAACGAAGCGCACGGGAGCCCTCGCCCATACCTGAACTACCAGGCTGCGATTCCGATCCGCTCCCGTATCCTCTGCGGCGCTCGTAGTAGAGGGTTTGGTGGTGGACGTCAAACTGGCTGGTTCCATTCGCCCACTGGGTGGCTACGAGGTTGGAAAAGTTGCCCAAACCGATCGTAATCAGTTCGCGCTCTTTCATAATGAGAAGGGGAAGGGGGGATTTCGTAAAATAGGGGTCTTCCCTTCGAAATGTGGTGGATAGTGCTATAGCACATTATAATACACGAGCAAGGAAAGGCGGAAAGAAAAAGAACGGTGAAAAAATGAGTACATGTGAAAATAAAGGAATCACATACAAAAAGAAAAAGGAAACATATCATGAAATGATAATTGGTAATTCCAACACACGCCCGTGGTGACCTTAGAAATAAAATATCATTAAGTGTTTTTTTGGGGGGGGGTAAATCTGTATCTCGCATATACATTAAATTTTTTTACGCCTACAATGTCCGTCTATAAAAACACTTTTATTTCACTTCAGCCTTTCTCTACAGGTGTAACAACTATGCTTTGAGTTCTTGAGTCGTTGCAAGGAAACTTCTTTTTAATTTAAAATTTATAAAATTGAACGTGACCAATATTCTAAAAAAAAGATAAAAAATGTGACAAAAGACAACTACCCATTAGGTTAAACGTTATCGTTGAAATATTCTGAAGATCTGTAAAAAACGAAAAAATTATTGGTAAATCATCCCTCAAAGATCTTTTTGCAATCAAAAATAAATATATATTCAAGAGAAACAGCATAGAAAAAAAATACAAAATTGCCGCAAGAGGTAACTATCTCACTTTTATAAAATTATTTTTAAGGGTAATGTCGAAACATCCGTTTTATATAAAAGTATCGGGAAAAAAGTATAAAAGTCCTATCCGAGTATCACTCTTTTTTGTTCCGCTTGCGTTGTTGAACAATGGTTAATTAAAATTGGCCGTTTCTATATAAACAGCAACACGTCCTTACCATAAGCAAAAATGCGTAGGACGTGGTAAAACTAAGAAAAAAAAACTTTATTAAAATGCAGAAGATCTACGCATACCTCTGTGCATTTAATGCAGGACTTTGCTCTCCGTTTCATGTTGTTCCTAAATCGTAGTCCTGCCCTTCCCCTTTTTCAAATTGTCCATTTACTTACTATTGGAAGAATGAGGGAAATAAAAGATGTCGAACACTTCTAGACAAGTTGTGGTTATACCCAACTTCTTATACCTTTCGAACCCTTTCAAGCAAGAATGTCTTGCTTTTCTATCCCCAAAATTCTACTAAAATTGACGTGTTGTATTCTTCTCTAAGTAAAGATCAATTTATTTTTTGTAAAAGTTTATACGCTAATTTTTATTGAGTATAAATAATTACATATTTTTTGAGGAGATCGTGGGCTGAAGCGATTCAACCGACCAATTCGACGACAAAGCGGACTCGGAGTCGGATGTGGACGTGAATCTACTCTCCGAAAGCGAGGAGGAGCTCACAGAGCTTCGCAGATGACTATCGGTTGTCTTATAGTGGCCTTCAACCGCGCCAGGCGCACCGAGGATATCCCCATCCCTATTGGTGGTATCCGTGAGGTCGGAATCGCCCTCGGCGAAGGTCCCACTTGATCTCTCCTTATTATCCCCACGTTTCGAAGCGTACTTGTTCAGCTTGTAGAGCATCTCGGCGCGTCTCATAATACGCTCTGCTCGGATGCTCGTCCCCATGCCTTGCAAGATGTCAAAATGCAGCAGCTCTTGCGCGCTCGGCCGGTGCTCCGGGTTGATCTCCAAACACGCCTTCACGAACTCGTAAATCAGCGGATTCCCGCTAAAAAGTGGCGACAAATCAGGGGTATCCGTAAGCTCCGAGAGATACTTAATAATACCCATCCCGTGGCTCTGCTCGATGTGTGAAAAAGGCGGCAGCCCCGTTGCCATCTCCAGCGCGATACACCCAACCGACCAAACATCCGCCTTGTAATCGTACCCGATCTGCTGCGAGACATCCGCCATGAGGACCTCCGGCGCCATGTATTGAGGGGTGCCGAGCAACTTATAAAGTTTTTGCCCCGGTGCGAGCTGCTTCGCGGTGCCGAAATCACCGATTTTCGTCCGTCCGTGGGTGCCGAGGAGGAGGTTGGCGGTTTTCAAATCGCAGTGGACGTAGTGCTGGGCGTGAACGTACGCGAGGCCGCGGCAGACCCCAGTCAGACGCTGCACGATCTCCTCGAAAGGAAGCCCGACCCCGGGGTGCTCCCGGATTCGATCCCGCAACGTCCCCTCCGGTGCCAACTCCATATACAACCGCAGCGTTGTATCGCTTTCCTTTTCGCAATAGAAATAACGAATGATGTTATCGTGCTGGAGGGAGGTCATCGCGAGGATCTCCTGCACGACCTCATCCACAACCGTCCCCTCATGCAGCTGCATTCGTTTCATCGCCATCTTCCCGCTCGTTAAGGTGTCTTTCACCTCGTAGACGTCGCCAAACGTGCCTTTGCCGAGAAGACGGCCGACCTTATGGCGCCCGGCCGCGGAATTCGTGAAGTTCGACCGCAGCTGCTCAATCCGAGCCTCCTCGTCTCGCATCTCCGCCACCATCTGCTCGGCCTCCTGCATCGCGATGTGGATGAGCGCGGCGGAACCAAGCTTCGGCACCTCAATCACAGAGTTGCGATCCAACAGCTTCTGCACCCGCCAGTCGCTGAAATCCATCCCTACCACCACCAACACCATCCGACTCGTACTCTCTAAGATATCACTAAACGGATCGCTGCCGTGGGTTTTGATATAACCATCCATGTTCAGATCGATCTGAATCGGATCGATGATGAGAATATCCGCCGTGTTGCTTTTGATTTTACGCATCAACTCCTCGAAAGATCGCACGGGGATCACCGCGTGCTGCCGCGACCACAGGATCTGGCAAAGGTGGTTTTGATGAACGTGGTTGCTATCGGCGACGATCACCGTAAAGGAACGACCGCCAGGTGCCACGTGCTGCAGCGTCCGGGCATCCTCCACGACCTCCTCTTTGCTGCCGGGAACGGCGAGGAGGGGGAGTTCGACGCGCACGACATTCCCTTCCACCTCCGGCCGCGTGAAACAACGCAGCATTCCGCCCATCTCGGAGACTATCTTCTCCACATGCGCCAACTCCCCACCGCGGTGGCGGGGGTTCGGAAACAGCGACCCACCCGACGCGTTGCCGTGGGGGAAATGCTGCGCGGCCGTGTTCGAAACCACAGGGCTGTTGAAGGGCGCGACCTGATTCGTGGCTTCCTGATGCCCGAATCGGGAAACCGGGCTTAGGACGGTCTGGATGAAGGATTTGGAAAAGGACTCGGCGGAATCAAACGAGTCCACCCCAGGAAACTCCTTCGCCATATCGTTGGACGAGTGAAATAGCGGAATCGTCAGACCATTATCGTGTAATTCAAAACAGATGCGGCGCAGCGAAGAAAGTTGGAGATCGATCCCGTCACCGTGCTCCGCATTCGACGCTGGAGAGACGGAGGAAGCGCTCTGTAGGGGAGGCGACGTGTGTGCGATGGACGATTTGCTCTCCTTTGAATCCCCTGCATTGCTCTGGGGTACTACTCCGGTAGATGGTTTGGGTCCTTCGGATGAAGAAGCCGGGGTTTTCCCTGACTGCGGTGCAATGGAAGGATTCGCGGAGAAGGCATGGTTGCCCTCTCCAGCCGACGAGATCCCTACACCTGGCGATCCAGCAGAATTCACACCTGATTCGTTGTGATCTTGAGCCTGCTGCTGTGGGGATTGACGAAGTCGTTTCTGCTGCGCCGCGTTTTGCGGAAGTTGCTGCCCGAAATGCGTACTCTCTGGCTCTATAATCATTACCCGAAGTTCGATATCCACATGCATTGTTGGATCATACTCCATAGACTTCAACAAATCCTTCAACAGCAGGCGTAGAAACATGATAACCTTTTCAGCATCCAAGAAAACTTTCACATTGGGTGTGATGTCATCTGTTTTGCAAAACAAACTGCAGTTCTTCTTTCGCACAAGTGCACAGGCCTCGGTCATAAAGCGTCTAATAGGAATAATCAGTTGCGTCGGCCGCAACGAATCCCTAACGGTCTCCATGGTAAGCAATGACAAGCGGGCAAGATGCTCGACGGTCACCATACAGGCGTCTAAGTGCCCTCGCAATAATATCGCATCATTAGGTGTCACCATCCACTTCTTGGATTCGATATACGAAACGTAATATTGGAAGTTCGCGAGCTGCGGGCGCATGCGTTCGTTCAACCAAGCGACCACATCGGCGGAGTAGTTGGCCGCCGCATGATACTTCGATTCACGACCCACCAAAAGAAACACCTCCGAGAAAGACGAGCACATAGAAGGGATGACACTCAATGCGACACCGATCTGGTACAACCCTGTATTTTGTCTAAATGAGAATATTTTTTGTAAATTTAGCTCCGCAGCGACATAGGACTCCCATTTACCTGCGTATTCCTTCGCCGCCTTCAGCATCGTCTGCAGCTTTTGCCGGTTCTCCTCACAACTCATGAGATCAAAAATGTTTTGGCCAATCACCTCAAACGGTGCGTAACCGATGACGTGGTGCGCAATAGGATTCCAGTGGATAATAGTACCATCCATAATGATCTCGATGACAATGGTATTGTTCGCGCAGAGTGCTTCTAGAGGGAAGCGGCAGAGATGTCGGCCACCCGAGAAGACAATTTCACCATCAGGGCTGATACGGTGCCAAAGAGATGCTCCTGTGGAGGTGCGCTTGATATTAGATGATCGGTATGAACGCTGAAAGGTACCGGAAGTGATATTGCCCTTACTCGCCCTGGTATTTTCATTGGATTGCACGTGCGAGTGATGTGAGCTGGTCGTTGCCGTATTCATCAAAGATTTGTTCCAACCCTGTAGTTCGCCCTTGAGGTGGCTGAGCTTATCTATTGAAGACATCTTTCGAAAGTGTGGGAGCTGCTCTACCGAAGCAAGTTTAGAGATCTTCTTTCCTGTGGCTTGGCGATGTTGCGAGGTAGCATTACTTCCTTTGTCGTCTTGGCCATCAAACCACCTTATGCTAGAGAGTGAACTTCCCGTTTTCATCCTGCTTTCAGATTTTCTACTCTCTCCTATCGCTTGATTAAGTCCGATTGAATTCATCTCAATCCGCATTTTCTTCGGGGCCACCTTCCTCAGAAACCTATATATTGGATGGACAACGATGACACGCTTAAAGATATCAATAATTGATTGGTCCATAATGATATCAAAATGGAGGCGGCTGATACGTGCGACCTGCAGGGTGGTTGTAGCCCGAGCGGTAAACAGGCTCTTGGTCGCAAAAACTAGCTCGACCTCACCCACAAGGGAACCAGAAGAACACTTAAGCAAAAATTGTCCTTTCGGAGCGTCGAGAGGTAACTGAAGCCCCTCGGTTTCTTCCTTCTCATGCTGAAGCTGCGAACCCGGTTGGTCCGCTGTGATACCAGATTCGACTGCATTAAAATCGGATATGACAGTCGATAATTTCTTGTTATCAACAAAAATGGAGGTAGGTAAGGAAAGGGCACTGAATTGGTGAGGACTGCCAGTGCTCTTTGCGTCTTCGGAGCTATCAGATGAATACGGGACCGGAGAATCAGTGCCCACCCTTGTGGAATCGCGTGGATCATTCTTAGAGATCAAATAAACAGTATCGTCTATCGAGTGTTGGGAAGTCTGAATATGGCTTTCCCATCCCTGTTCCATATCGTCGATGTGTTCAGGAACTGATGTATTTCTATAATATTGATCCAAAGACTCTTTAGAGGGAATCGTATACCGCTTTAAGGAAGGCCCAGATGATAATAAAGGGGAACTGAAAGGCTTACACACCATTTTAGAGTGTTTGCTTCGTTCTTTCCTAGCTTTCTCAAGAAAAAAGGTTAAGGTCAGGTCACCCGATAAAACGATGTACAACCACTCTACCGGACTCCCTTGGTCTATCAAGGTAGTTCCCTGTTCGATCCGGTGTGGTTTCAGTGCCTCCGCAATACGGCGCTTAATGGGGTCCGGGCATGTTTGGAAAAGAGGAATTCGGCCAATATACTTAGTAAGAAATATTTTCAGAACTCTCTTCTGGGACATAATAAAGCTTACCAAATCCTTGTTTGCGAGAAGAAATACGGTCACAGTTGGGGCTGTGGCTGAAACTAATGTGACAAGGCTCCGCTTCACGTTCTCAAAGAACTCCACCTCTCCGTAGAGACTTCCAGCCCCAAGCTCCTGCGAGATGTTTTCATGGCCAATAGCGGACAGAGACCCATTGATGACAAAGATCAGGCTCCCCACCCACTGCTCTCCCTCCCTCACCAGTATGTCATTAACTTTTAAGACTTTGCGGGTCATCGCATGAATAAGCATCCCGATTTGCTTCGAGTCAAATGCGGTAAGAATCGAGCTTTGGGAGATCGCCTCACGGAGGCTATCAAACTCCTCTGACGAAATGCTCAAATCTTTTAAGGTGAAATCAGTGGTGGCAGTAATGGCACTTTCCTCGAGCAACCCTTTTCTTATTTCTGCACACGACGAGGAGGACACCTTTGGTGATAATGGTGCAAATTTTTCACTAGTTGAGCCACCAGCATCGGCAGGTAAATCTGGAGTAAAGGTGAAATCAGATAGAATCTCTCTATTACAGGTATTTTGGGAGGACCGACATATGTTCTCCTCCTCCCCTTCAGCATGACTTACAGACTCTTCATTAATTGTCTTGATTGCTGCCACGCTGTGAGCAGTGACATCGGCACCATCTGTGATGGACAAAGGTCCTGAGAACTGTGGCGGGTAAGTTAGTACACCATGGCTATAGGAAGGTATTCGAGAACGGCTGCAATCTTCCTTGTTGACACTGAGCTGCACCTGTTTTGAATAAATGAGGTCTGCCACATTTAGTAATCGATCACTTGACGTGGCTGAACTACACAGGGAACTCAGCTCACCTTCTGCTACCGCCAAAGCGGTCATCGCAATGGCATAATCTAGCTTCGGGTCATGTACCATACTTTTTTCACTCTGACCCCGTACAAACGCATTAGGAGATCGGTTCTGCATATCGCCTGAGGCGTACAGTGATGATCTCACAGAGGTGGACGGCTCATGGAAGTCACCTCCTGCGTAGTTTGGCGTATCCAGATGACCTCTTCGGTTCATAAATTCCATCGTGCGCTCAAGAAGCGATCGTTCAAGATCCTTTGAGCAAAATGGACGGCGTCTACTTTGCGAGCTTGTTCGATCCTGCGACCTTGCTGTCTTAGACAAGTGGCATGGTGGCAAATTTGGTACGCACTTACCGTGTGAGTGAAGATCATTAGAGAATTTCTTGCCTTTCGGATAGGGAAAATTTGCTGTGGTCTTGCCTCCTGTGTATTCATGGCCTTCCTCGGAAAGTTGATCAGAAAATGAACTCGGATTGCATTTAGAATGTGCGCGTTGGCGGCACTCCTGCCTCTTCCTGTGCCGGATATCTTCCTCCGCATGCATGGATTGTGTAGTGTGCAAAACGGCAGAAAGCGAGCGTTTCATCTTACTAGAATTGGTACTGTGGCTGCCCTCTCCAGACATTGAAAACTTCGGAAATGTATAAATTGTATTGCCAAAGTTAAGAGAAACACTTCTGGACTGCCGTTTTTTGGATGTGGTGATCTGATCAGCCGTCTTGTTGGGGAATGCATTGCTGTCAGAAATGTATGATTGACAAAGGGGTGTATCGGGTTTCCCCACATCAACTGTCTCAGTGTGCTGCGAGTGAGTCTCGCACTCGCTCGACGGCTCATGCTCCAGGCTATCGTGAGCTTGGCTTTGGTCAGAACCAGAACCAGAGAGCTTAAGTTTTTTTGAATCACCTGTCTCTCCTTTGTGATGATGTATAGCGTCGTTGGAAATTTTCTTATGGTGATTTCGATAATGCCGGTGAGAACGATGGTAGGAAGACTTTTTAGGCGTATCCGAATGGTAGCGGTTGTGTCTGCAGTGGTGTGAATGCTTCGGGCCAATGGGGGGAAAGTAAAACGACCGTGCAAGAGATGCGGGTGATCTTCCAGCTGAGTTACTACCATTTTCTGAACATTTCGAGTACACGATTGGTGCAGACCGGCTCAACTTCCATGAATTATCAGGTTCACGTATATCCGGCAAATCGATGCCATCGTATGTTGCTGCTAACTGTGAGTCACCGGATGACAAAATAATACACTCTGGCTCAGTACTGAGCCAATCTTTTAGAGCGGAGTTGTTGAACGGTATACAAATTGTGTCCCCGCTTTGGTGATGAATTCGCCCATCGGTGGTTTGAAGACAACCCGACTGGGCCCCCTTGTTTTCAGGTGGTCTGCTAGAGTCGATAAGGGCTCCGTCCCCCTGAAGCCTCTGAGGCTGCGTCTGCTCCTCTTTTATGGTAATCTGCTCATCTCCGCTAATCTCATTGAGGTCAGTGTGTGCCAGTTGATTTGAGGGAATTCCCCCATCATTTTGTTTACTAACCGAATCTTGACTTTGATGCGTGATTACTTCTGGGTGTTGATCTGTACTTAGCTGTTCACATTTCTCTCCCTCTCCATATCGTTCTGAATCATTAAAGTTGTCTGTTCCATCATTATTTCCTTTTAGGCTGGTTGTCACTTCGCCATGGGTGTTGTTCTGAAATCCTTCTTCAGCTTCTCTCTCTTGATCACATTCAGTGTTGATTTGCTGACTCGTATTCTTGCATTCACTTTCAGAAACCCCCGCACCCGTTGCGGTGTGAACCATTTGGGTCATCACACTTTGTGAAGTGAAGGGTTCGATCTCAGGAGTCAAGGATGCATCGAAAGTTGTGTTTTCCTCAAGACTATGATCTTCGCCAATGGGTTGATCGAGCTTTATTGCCTTGTCAGGGGCTTCGAATCCGCATTTGTTTGTCTCTCGCAACCTGCTTACCCCCAGTGGCGATGCCCCTTCTTCTTTGTTGCAACTCCTGAGAGACTCCGTTATGCAATTCATAGAGAATGGAGAATGGGCGGTCTGAACAGCAGACTTGACCTTGTAGTTTAGAAATGGTGATGTCTTTTCGGAGATTGTCTCGATTGTGGGACTACTAGGATCCACACCAACAGGCCTTTGAGGAAGTGAAGATTGTCCTCTGGAAAGTGGTGACATAGAAATCGCAGCCTGCGATTGTGAATACGGGGCGATTGAGGAAGCAAAGGCTCGAATGCTGCTCTGAAGACCCAGCGTCCTTCCGCAAGACGCCATAGCTGTGTCGTGTCCAAGTGGGCTCGACTGAGCCACGCTTTGAGTTGGGCCACTTTTGCGATTGACTTGGAAACGTGCTTGGGTATTCGTGCCGACTTCAGCGGGAGGAGAATGGCCCCCGATCTCAAGCGTTTGGTGAGTGTCCGAATTCTCACTAAGTGGATTTGTGCCGCAACGAGTCGCGGACACCTCTTCGCATTGGGTAGTTGAAAGTGTCGGGGAAGACCAGGCGTGACGCATTCCTGAAGATTTTTCAGGCATCTCGGGTAAAGTTTTAAGTCTCTCCGATTGGTACGGAATCGAATCCGGCCTATTGTGCCTCTCCTGATACCTAAGGGCAGCATCAATTGGATAGGCAGCGGAACACATCGCTTCGCTGAAATTAACAGTAGTTGCATTCTGCGAAGTAGGCTGAAACGAGGCACGCGCATGGAAGCCTGTGGCTCCATTAGTGTTGTTCAAAAGAGAGAATCCAGAGCCATCGGTGTCCCCACCCTCCGTCTTTCCAACAAGCCCTTCTAAGAAGGACAACACCTTTGAATACATTGCTTTTGGAATTTGGCCCAAGGTGTTGTTAATTCGAGTCAGTACTTCTGACGGTGCTGGCGCCAAAAAGGATTCTGTTGGGGTCAAAAATCTATCCGGTATCACTTTCACACCACCACTTTCGCTTGCCAGGATACTATCACCGCGGCGCTTCATCAAAGAATTCATAGGTGAAAAATTAAAACCCGTACTCGAACTCGATCCCATAGCAAGCGCTGTATTGCCGCCCGTCGACATTGAAGAAACCCTGGGGGAGGGGGCATCTACATCTGTGAGCGAGTTCTGTGCTGCTATCATCATGACTTGTGCTTCACCTTCTGATCCAGTAAAAGGGGCTATGCCCCTTGTGCAGACCCCTCCAACACCGGAGGAGTTGAATAAATCCGTGGGTGGAGCCGGTGATAGCTTGCAGGGTAAATTTTCCCTCCTTGGTGTTCCCTTTTCAGCGTATTCGATCGATGAGAATGGAACGAGATCGACTTTATTGTCGAGAGTGGATTCCGGGGTATATAACGAGGTCTGCAAAATTGGAAAGATGGTGCCACCGGCAGCGTTTTGGTTCGCAGCCAACGCTGTGCCAAAGCCGTTATTATAAGGCTGGAGAGTGTGAGGTTGCAACCGCGATAAAGTAAGAGGGGATGCGGATGTCGACGCCGACTGTGGGCGGGGAGTCAAGTGTAGCGTGGGGTTACTGTGCTCCCCTGTCCCTCGGAGGAAGGCAAGCTTGGATTTGGCTCCCATCGTGTCGCTAGCGCCTACCAAGGAATGCAACTTCAAACGTGCCGAGCCGATCGTGGCAGTGGTGCTGCCTTGGTTGAAACCAGAGTTCAGTGCGGTATTTCGGGAAGACGCCAAGTTTGCCTCGGAGCCGGTGGACGTTGCGGCTAATGGTATTTTGGTATTACCGCCAAGTTTGCTCGTGGTCGAGCCAGAAGCAGGGACAGTGATCCCGCTATTTGCGAGTTTCTGCTGAGCAGCACGGTTGGCGTTGCTGATCGTGGTGGGTGCAATAGCGGCGAGAAGCTTTGCTGGGATGTCTGCAGTCGCCGAGGTTAGCCTGCTACCACGCGTATTAGTCACTGCTTCCCTCCCAGCATTTATACCTGGAGAGGCAAGCAGATTCGACGCCGTCGAAGCTGCCGCTGGCTGACCGGAAGTCGGGGGAAGTGATAAGCTGTTGAATGAACCAGCTTTGTTTTCATTTGAAACGCGCACGCCACCCAACACCCCTGAGGTGCTCTGATCAAGTGTAATTACAGGTGCAAAGGTGACAAGGGCATTATCGATGTCCCCATTATCCTCCTTTGGGTCCTCGTCTCCCCGCCTATCAAAACCCTTCAGGTTTGGAAGAAGAGTACTGGAGGAAAATGAATCGATCTTCGACGCTCCGACTCTTGTCTCATTCTTTAAACTAGAAAGTGCAACCTCACTTCCGTCGTTTTGGGGAGCCCCAAAACAGGAGTTTGAGATAGGTGACAGGGCGAACAAGTTTGCCTCCGCGATCTTATCGTACTCACCCGACCCTGTTTCCTCTTTGTTTCCTTCCTCACATTCAACTTCACGAGAGGAGACTGTTTCGTGACTCCCAACGGCAATAGGTGAGTTGATTAGGGCAGCATTCAACGGCTCCGCCGGCGGAAGTGTGCCTACCGCGCATACCGTGGCCTGTGCGTTGCTCGACGAGCGGATCTCAATCAAATTCGGGTCAACGGTGCCGCTTAAAAGGGATTTCGAATCATTTCCCTTTCCATCATCAGTGATAGAAACGTCCTTTGCAGGCGAGTAAAGGTTATTAACAAAGTTGTTACTTCTGAAAGACGACCAGGACTTCTTCGACTTCGGCGAAGGAAGGGTACCATCTGCTTTATAGTCTTCCGTAGCTAAGGTGCCAAGCTTAAGTGAAGAAGGCGTGTCGACGCTGTCGGCCATCGCTGCAACGGGGGCAATGGTCAATCCACCTGCGGCTGGAGGGACTCTGGTCAACTCAACCTTGCTGAGATAGTCATTCACCTTGTCACTTATTTTGGCCTTACTGAGGCATCGTCTTTTCTTGAGATTGCCTTTGTCGCTGTTTTCCGAGTCGTGGCTGCACTCTCGCCGGAATTCGGACCTAGATCCTCGAGAACCAGCTTTGTTTTGGCCTTGCTCAGGTTTTTTAGACACACCTTGGAATGAACGATGTTCATTCACATCGCAAGAACCTCGCTTGGAGTCCAATTCCGTTTTCAACACTTCCTTAAGACGTCGCTTTGTTAGTTGATTACCACGTGGAGATACAACATCCGCCGTGCTGACAGCGTAGCCTGTTGGAGGCAACGCAGAACCTGAGGAGGCGAGGTTCAGCACTCCAGGAGAACCGCAATGTTTGCCTCGAACCCTTTTACAATAGTTGTGATGGAAATGAAGACTATGCGGACGCTCTATTCCTTCTTTTCTCTCTCCTTTTCTTCCCATGTCTACAAGATGTTCAATCCACTTCTTGGCGAAGCTTTTATGGTCCATCGGCTTATGCTCAAGCAACGCCATTGCGAGATTCGAGAGAAGTTTATCGATTCCAAACACCATCAAATACATTGCATCATCCATCTCCGATGCTGGGAGGCGGTGCTTCCCAGAGTGAGGACGTGGTAAGGCCTTCTTTTTCGAGCGGGAAGGGCTACCAGTCCTATATTGCATGGAGTTCCTTTCCTGTTCCAACGGAAACAATAAAGGCCGTGGAAACAGTCGATCAGCACCGTGTTTCCCCTTAACTTCATTCGAAATGACACCATCGGCGGCTTGGGTTGACAAAGAAGGTGACAACGAAGGCACAATGTTTAGTTGTTGCCCTTCTTTATCTTCCTCTTCACTATTAACATCATCAAGACGCTTTACGGAATGCTTGCCGTTATCATCATGACATTTCTCCTGTTGTTGGATGCTGAAATCTTTAGCTCCCCACTCGATTTCGTTTTCCCTCGTCTTGGAGCATTTTACAGGCTTCCATTCAAATTCTGATCCCGAATCAGATTCGGCCTCTTCTTCTTCCGTCGTGTCATTACCACGTGTTACTTGTGTTTCATCATGACCCTTCAATGCATTCAATATTTGACTTGATTTAGTAGAAGGAGCGTCAACATCACTATGAAAGCAATGCTCTTCCTTCGGCATCAATAGGGTCGGCTCTGGAACGGTTTTTTGCGGAAATGCTTTATCTACATCATCGCCGACTCCGTTCTTAACTGAACTCAAACTTTTTGCATTTGATTGGCAGTCTAACATTCGGCTATTAACTTTAGCAGAATTGGGTGTCCTATCCTGTGTTAACTCCTCTAACGATGCTACTGACGTAGACACATTGTTAGACGTGACCAAATTACCGGCATCACACCCCTCCATGCATGCACATCGTTCCTCGTCGTCGTGGTTACCGTTATCGGTATGTGAAGTGGTACTAGCAGCCCTCTGGTCGCCCGTTAGTGCTTTCACTTCGGGACTCCAGAGCATTTTAATACTGCAAAACCGAAATAAACAATAGGTTTTTTCAAATAAAAACAATAAGGAAAATAATAATATAGTAATAATAAACTTACTTTGGTTGCTTATGCCAACTTTAAGAAATTTCTTATATATATGTGTATATATATAAGCATATGCGTGTGCGTATGTTTTGGCTTCCTCCTTATCTGTGTATGTAGGACTGTGTATTTGCAACAATCACTATTAACTTGACAGAGCTATGCATAAAAAGATGAATTCTATATTTAAAAAGATAAACAAAAAAGTCAAACATGGAATGAAGATATACAATAGAGTTTTGTTCATTCATTCGGCATGCATAATGAATCGTTCCAAGTTCCCGAAAAAGTAACCAAAAAGAGAAAAAATACGGAAAAAGGAAATAAGTCAAAGTCAGTTCCTATTTTATTGTTATTCTGAAAGTGATAGGAAAAGTTTTATTCTATGACAACATCCCTCAATTAACTATATAAAAAATAGAAGATTAATACAAAAAAAAGTATAGGTCGTTTATATTTGAACAGTTAGAGAAATTATAAAAATATATGAAAAAATACTGGATTTAGAAAAAAGCAGATATCTATATATATATAAATATAGATATAATTTTTAGAATGTTAACATGTTCTTCGTTTTCTTGTATTTAAAGATCGTTTCATCGTGAGTGAGGAGAAACTCTTTGCAAAATAAAAAGTAAAAATGCAATAGATATCGCTTTCTTGAAAAAAACACGATTTTATTCGTTCAATTTCTAACGCACATATACGATTATACAACACAAGAAAGGCTGGAAAATGAATACTAAAGGTAGTAAAAGGCAAAAAGAAACCCTTAGAAACTTATGACTCAAAAATCACGTTGTTGTGCACAGATGTGAGAGTTGATTACGAATCGGGATGGATTCACAAGTCAAAATGAGGGACACCTTTAGCTCCCCACAAAGCAAGCAACTTTGCCGCTGTCAGACGTTCTGGGTCAACTATAGTGAACGGTAAGATTATTCTTAATAGCATTGGTAGTAAGAAAAAAAACTTATGCGAATAGATATTACAAGAAAGAGAAATAAAGCTTTGGAAAATTAGCCTTGGAATCCAAGCTAAATTTCACATTTATCATGATTAGTTAAAGGGAGAGCGAGATAACAAATAAATACTTTACTTTCTTCAGATATGTTTTTCTGCAGTATTATTATTAGTTCGTTTTCTTTTGCCCAACCTTGAGTGTCGAAACAACATCCCATATTGTAAGGAAATCCCTCAAGAATTTATTGAATACTTATATTCGTACTCTTACATCTCATACATAACATTTAAGCCTATCTCTCAAATTCTTTCCAGGCGAAAAAAGATGCATAACATTACATAAAATAGAATTGATTTTATTCAATATGAATACCTCTAACATTTGCAGCATATAAGAATTATTACAGTGCCCAAATTATAAATAGACGTTTTCTATAGTAATTTTAAGAACAATAATAAAAAAAAGAAAATTAAGCTCTTGTGATCTATATGACTGATACAAAACAGCCAAATAAATACTCGTACCTGTATACGCATGCGTAAATATACATAAACGCCCTGAGCAGTGAAGCCAGAAATCATATTCACCTTTTATTCCAGGCTGAGGTTGCATCTAGACGACAAAAGGTGTAAGAATAATTGGGTTATCTAATTGCAGTAGGGTAAAGAACACAAGGAAACCCATAATGACCATTATGAGCAATTTTTAGATGCTTAAGTTGCAAAATTAATCGCGAGATTGTTTCCAAATAAAAAAATATGCAAAAAATATCCTTTAGAAACATCGGTGTACAAAAGTTTTGATGCTCTTACACACCACGTTTAGAAAGAAAAAAATATGATAAAATTATAGAAAGTCTCAAATTTGTATATTTCGTTGACAAGCCACTAATGAAGCTTTTTTTCTTATTGATCCTCATCTAGCACTCACAATAGCAGTCAACCAATAATCACAAAAAAAGGACATTTTTCGAACTCATAAACCAAAAAATAGAAAAAATCGTACTTATCAAAGAAATACCTGCAGACCTTACCCATAGATACTTCCCCATATAGTAATAGTTCGGTTTCAAATAATTACTTTAGTATTTAAAGATTAAAAAGCAAATAAAGCACAAAATGGAAGCCCATTTTAGGTAAATTTCAGATTTAGTCCAATATCGGCAGCCCCCATCGGCATTGAAGCAATAGATAAATATAGAATATCCCTTAGTTGAGACCTTAGGTAGAAATTCGTTCTTTTCATAAACCAAGCAAAAGCAATAAAGGTTAAGAAGATATGCATCGTCAATGCTAATTTCTTCTTTCCCTACGATTTGTCTATAGAAGTTGCGCTAGCTCTTAGTACGATCGCGCTCTGTTTACCAGATCAGGATTGAAACAGTATTCGCCTGTGAAATGAGGAACTGGTTGGTGCACCGAAACTCCCATTTGTGTGGAGATAAAACCTTGCCCCTGCATCTGCGTCAAAGTCATCTTTGGATGCTGCTGAAAGGGGTTCAATACCGGTGTAATTGTGGCACTTAAACCCTGTGTGGATTGCATAGATATAGCTGTAGCAGTCGTAAACTCAGGGACTTGATGCATTGCTGAAACCGGACAGCTAACCATTGGGTAGTACATCTTATGTTGCAGCTGCGGCAGCTGTAAGGGTCCTGCATAAGGCTCGTTAACAGGGAGCGGTTGCATTAGTGGCACAACATTATCAAGATTATTTTGGTAAGTTGGTGCCGATAAAAATAGCGGCCTTTGCATGGAACCACAGGTATCGATGCATTTACTCGGCAAGTTCATTGGCGTCTCAAAATGGGTGGACGCTTCAGAGCCAGGACCCACGCTGCCATGAGGTATGGTGGAGGTGTCAGAATGAAGAGGTAATGGACACATCGAAGTGTAGCCAATCGCTTTCTCCGATCTCAATGAAACGGGGTTAAAGCTAGCTGCCGGCGACTGAATTTTCAACGAGTTATCCAGATCACCCATGCAAGCGACCGTTGAGTGTGGATCGCACACGTTGTAAACAATATTATTGGATATTAGACCGGGATTTGTCATCATCAGCTGTTGTGGCTGTGTGGAAATAGGCACACGAATTTGAGAGCATTGAGGCTTTGTAACGGGAACCCCCATCATACTATACCCAGAGCCTCCAGTGTGTTGAGGACCCTGCATTACGACCTTATAAGTACCCTCAGCCGAGACTGCAGCGTAGTTGTCTGAGTGGGCAGGAGCTGTTGTTGTAGTAGTAGGGGCAGTGCCGCTAGCCAAATAGAAATCGGCATCCCTCGGACAAGTAGCTGGTATACTTCCTGCATCCTGCTTGTTTAAGCAATGCGCAGTATTTATATGCTGAGCACCAACGTCTTGAGACCATACACTCATTGAAAAGACATCTCCTGAACCGAGTGCATCTTTGGTTGGCGCATAATTCTTCAGGTGATCTTGATGATCCAGCGAATGATGCGACCTCATCATCACCTCACTGCCTGAAGTAGTGAAAATGCCCTCAAGGGCAGAGTTACTTTGCTCAACTGCGTTTAATACGGCGCCTGTAGACACCTTCACCTGGTCTGGATGCAGGCAATCCTTTACACTATTATATTGCGTCTCGCTCAACGGTTCGATCTTCACAGAAGAGGGTACAATGCTTGAAGGAGGGCCCATTTTTGCATAAAGCCTCTGTAAGTCGTCGCAATTGTCTTGCACTGGAGAAGAATTGACGGGGACGTCCACCGGTTTGTCCATGAAAAACAGCGGCTGCTCTTGAGGTAGCTCATGGCATGAAGAGGTTGGCATCAAGCCATCCACGGGGTTACCGCGGCTGGCACCAATGTCACAAGGGAAGGACACAAACACCTGTGGGGTCCCGTAGTAGTACGGTAAATTCCCACCCAAGCTGACTGATGGCTGCACAGGGGTAGCGTTGCTGACCTCAGTCATCAAGGTTTGTGGAGGGGCCGGCGGCATTGGGTACATGAGAGGTGGCTGGTTGCCTATCATCGGTGGGCCTCTCGGTAAGAAAGGCGGCTGATGCCGTCTTAGCGAACAATGAGGACGTGGAGGTTCATGATAGGGCACATTCGGAATATACGGACCAAGCATCGGGCCAATGTTAGCAGCATGAGACGAGCGTCGGTTGGAGTGGGAGGAAGACTCATTTCCATTGGCACTTTTTTTGGATTCCATCTGTTTTTGTGATGGATTTTTCACCCCTTGAGTGTCGTTATCTCTTTGAGAACCGCCTGGTGCCACCGTCGGAGTAGTGATGGTGTTAGTGTTGCGGCTCGGTTTGTTGTTGTTCAGAAGGCACGGGTGAAACCCACGAGCAGCAATCAGCATTGGGCCAGCTTTCCCTCGATGTAACGTGTAATTGCGATTGTCTTGAGTCTTGAAGACTCGTACAGAACTCGAGCGTGAATGTAGTGACGAACGTGTCAACTCGGTTTCTTCTTGCAATACACGCACATGCTCCAATAAGTACTCAGTGTTAGGGCCAAAATAGCTGCGTGCCTTTTCCTTTTCATGTTGTCGCCAGAGTGAAACGATCATATCTTTTTTTTGAAGGACACACCGTGCCTCCTCAAGCTCGTCTTTGAGCTTGTACTGAATCCAGCATGTCTTCGAATAACGTAAAGGGTGACAAAACAAACTACTTAGCCAAAGCACGGCTTGGCGGAATAAACATGGTTTCAGCATGATTACAACTCCAGAATCTGGTGCAATCCAACATGAAGAGGATACTGTATCATCATGCAGGACTGTTGTGGAGCCGTCTGCATCACACAGATTACCTTTCATCCGTTTCAAAGTCTTGTTCTGAGCACTATAGCCATCGTCAAGCTTATCCGGTAAGAATACATTGCATGTTCCAGTATTGAGATCTGGCATTTCCTTCGATTTATCAGCTTCATGCTTGGTGGTCTCTCCTATAGGAGTTTTATTTGTATGGATTGTGGTTGCTGGCTTAAATTGTGGGCCCTGCTTCACGTCGTGGTGGGCACTTTGGTTTGACGGGCCTCCTTCCTCCCCACACGTATCCTTGGCCGTGAATTTATCTAATCCAGGCATATTCACCAGGGTCATGGACAACCCATTAAGGTCAATATCCAACTGAGTGTGCATAAAAGCAAAATTTTCAGTCAGAGACTTAAGGGCAGGGTAGTTATTGCTTGATACTTCGATCATAACCGAGATAGTGTTAAGGCGGCGAATAAAACCCCATGTAATAGCATCCTCCTCCACATTCGTAAGATGCATCCCCGTGAGCGTATCCGTCACCTCGTTAAAGATGGTATTGGATGTGCTGGGACTACGGAAAAAGTGATTCTCCCCTGGCTGCTTCCATTTTGGGAACAATACGAACTCCTCCCGGGAGTTGGCATGGGACTTGATGCCATCCTCAGAATCCACCTCAGCTTGCTCGGTTTCATCCACCGGAGTGGTCTGCTCCTGCGGCTGGCGTTCCTGCTCCGCTCCCTCGTCGCGTTGATAAGGCCAATAGATCCCTGGTGTAAACACCCCAGGCGGTAGAGGCGAAAAGGCCACCGACATTAAAGGGTCCATATAACACCCCTCACCCGCCCCGCCAGCCTTCCCTTCCGAAGGCGCAAACGAACCGTCAGCGACGGTGGCGGTGGCGGGGGAGATGGAAAGGCTTTTGTTGATAGCGGTAGAGCCCTGCGGCTTCGTGGCCTCGCATGGGCTCCGTCCGGATGCCAACGGGGCCGTCATGGAGGCGCCTTCATCGGGCTGAGCGGTACGATTTCGATCCCGGAGTTTTTGGTTGATTAAGAAACGACGATAGGCGACATGAAACTGCTGGCGGAGCATCACCGGTGCTAATATCAGCACGCGCTCGAGCGTCCGATCCCCGGCGGAGGTCAAGACGGAGGTGTTGAAGTAGAGATGAATTTTCGTCTGAGGATCTTCCGTGGGATCACTGGACTCGGCGGTGTTGCGGTGACGCCCGGAAACCACTGTACTTGTCGAGGCCGCGTTCCCATCTGTGCTAGATCTGGTCTTTTCTCCATTAAATTCCGAATTGCGTTTGGTCACCTTGAATGCCTCTTGCATCTCCTTTGTCATACAACCAAAATAGCCAATGATGTTAATGCTTCGACCTTCCAGAAGAAAGCAGCCTTGTCGCTCCTTCCCAACGGGATAAGCAAGACACAAGGCGCATGGTGTGGGGATAAAAGCTCGCGGTAGACGTTTTTGCGAAGTCGCGGCGACACCATCGCCGGTGGTGTTAGCGTCATGCCGGACACTCGTCTTCCTACTCTTAGAAGAACCAAGCGTTTCAGTCTCAACGGCATAGCGGGGATCAGTGATCATATCTTCATCGGTTTCATACATTTCGTTCTCAACCAGCTCCAAAAAGTTGTCAAGGTCCTCCTCCGTAAAGTTGGGCTCCGGCATGATATCCCAGAAATTCTCTCTAAAAAGAGTGCTGTCGATGTCAAGCGGAAATGGATCGTCTTTGGGGCCCAACGATTCGACTGAGGCCGTTGATGTAGATGAGTTTACAGCCTCGGGTATTTTTTTAGCATCACCCTTTAGCATCGACTTCGACATCAGGTTTTCATGAGAGTCATTCTTAGTGTTGTTAACCCTGGAACCGATGATCGAGGTCGCCCCAACTTCTGGAAAGTGGATGCCGGTGCACACCGCTTCTTTGGCAATCTTATTATTACCATGACATAGACAAGCATGCTTTTCATGAACGCGCATTTTAATCGTTTGTATCATATTTTCCGTATCCCTCGCATTCGAGTATAAAACCGCTGGGTCACGCCGCATTTGTATTACCTGCGATCGCAGCCGCTTTCGATCAACTACATCAAAAGGCCGCGTAGAGAATTGCTTGTCGCTTAGTGAAGAAGGATCTGGAACTTCGCCTGATGCCTCAAATTGATGAAGATGCACAATGTTGTCGTTCTTTATGCTTTCGTTTCCTTCTTCTTCAGAACCGAAGAAACACTTCGTCAAAGGAATAAGTCCAACTTCGTAACTGCCTCTGAAAAATGAAAACAAAAAAACATTTTCCTTGGATGGGGCTGCACCCATTTTCTCAGATCAAAATAAGAATGAATATGGAAAAAGTCCCAAGAAATCACGAAAAGGATGAGAAAAGAGACTGAGGAGCTGGTTTGAGAGGCGTTCGTTCCTTCTTTAGGTGTATTTTCACGTGAGTTGGTTGTAGTGATGATAAATATACAAGAAAAAAAGTCTTAAAGTCACAAATAAAACTTTCCAACTTTTATACCTCAGTGAAATAGAGGGAATAAAAAGATCAAACGGCCTAGAAATGATAAAGCCTCTCAACTTAAAATGATATCGAATAAAGGGGAAAAAATGTAAAGAAAGAATGCAGTAGGCACCTTTTCCCACTCTCAAGTCCCACACAAGAAAAAAAGGAGGTGTAAAGCCCGATTTATCAAGAAAAAAAGATCAAACGAATGAGCCGGCACTTTGCAAGGAAAAGATACCCTATCCTTTCTCTTGTTTATGTAATCCGCGCTCAAATCGCTCTTAAAAGATAGATGAAGAAGTATAGATGTTGATGCGTTGTAAAAAAAAACAACTAATGTATATATATAGCTATACTTATGTACCTACGTATATGCATAGATATTGTTTATACACTCAAAAAAAAACTTCTCTGCCCGATTTAGGAAAAAAAGACGGGCCCTTCTATTTTTTTTTGGTTAATTATTAAACTCCTTCCAAAGTGAGCAATGTTTGTGTGCAGGAATGCTTGGAAAACAGGGGGTCACGTTAACCACCACAACAAATGACCACTCGCGAATAAGATATAAAAGCAAACAGGCAATAGGTGTTGCCTAACGTTCAACGTTAATCGTTTCTTCGAAATTCCGGGAAATAAGTTATATAGCAAGAGGTATATATACGATTTGATTTCTCCAATGTATGGAATTTTTCTAGCTTAATGAGAGCTAGGGGAAAAAAGCAAGGTAAAACAAAGGAAAGCACAAACAAAACCTGAAATGTATATTGATATTTGGAAATATAGAGGTAGAAGTATAATTAATTATGTGGTGAAATCAAACCAGAAAGAAAATGAGAAAGGAAAGCAAACTTCCCTAGGCCGTTTTGTCCGAAATGTAAGTCGGATAAAAGTCTCGACGAGAAAAGGAGAGAAATAGGTTCTTTTCTCGTTATTTGCTACGCATTCAAACTGTGGTAGGGTAAAAAGGATAAGCAGTACTTATTCTGTTTTCAGAGCCTTGGGATATAGAAACTCTTAAAGTAAAGAATATTTATTTATTAAAAACGAATCAAACAAGTCTACAAGTAAAAAGGAAGTAAATGAAAAAGGCGAAAAGGTGAGAAATGATAGAGGACATTGTCGAACTACAGAAAGGCAAACATGACAGCACTTGCCATGTGGTATCATTCCATTTAACACGATTATTCGTTTCAGTTAGTGGCAAATCTTCTATCCTTGGCATCAAGGAGTAAATACTAGTAAAGAAGAAAATAGCACAACATGAAATTTAATTGTTTGGAGCTTATTTTATTCAGTCTAGTATAAATACTAACGCTGATCGAGGTCAGCACATGATTTCTATAGACTGAGATCCAAAATCACACTCAGGGGGTTAATACGACCCTCTCCTCTCTCACTAAAGCTATTTTTTGTTTCTTATTTTGAGGTAGGTAAGCAAAAAATGGCATATTAAAGGCTAAAATCAGTAAAAAGCAATGCTAAAGTCCCTTCAATACATATCCCTTTGCCTCAACTGTAATCAAAGGGTAAAAATATATAAGTATTTTGCCGCATTTCACTTATTTCTCAGAATAATTATCATATAGGGCCTATATGTGACTTTATTCTAAATGAAGGGACTCTTTTGTCTAAGAAATGCCAAAAAAAAATGACATTAGGCTGGCCGAAAAAAAAGACACTAAGTAAAATGCTCGATTATTATTAGTGAATAACTTTGTTATAAATTTCATCTGGACAAAACTAAATGATCCAAAAAAAAAGATCATTTAGTAAAAAAGTCAGCTTTCCATCTTTTTCATTTTAGAAAAAGTACTGTGACTTCATGCTAAAGAAGCCAAGAACGACTCTAAGCATCTTTGTCACGTGAATATTTCCCTCATTCATAAAAAAAATTAATAATTTCAGACTAAAGAAGAGACTTGATTACTTTATTTAATGTCAAAATGCTTCATCAGAGTATGAAAGACAAACTGACTAGAGAAATGATTTACGATATCAAATGCTCAGATAAGTAAAATATTGGAGACAAACAATCGTAACAGACGAACATTCCAAAAAAAAATGTATTTATGAGTAGCATAAAATCAAATATGACGTCAATAAAGAAGACGCTCAAGGTTGAATCAACGTCCAGCATATACAAAAAGAGAACTACGAAAAATATAGTAAACAAAATCGCTAGACGATTTGTCTACAGTAATTGCACTTACTTTTCTTTTTTGAAATCTTCGTGGTAAACAAAAAAAAACATCTAAGATATACGAAGAATAGTCGATTTTTAGTGAAGGCACTCAACACCGAACATACATCAGAAAAAAAACTTTTTTTCATGTCGAGCATGATTTTTTACGCGTACAATAATTAAAAAAAGTCAACCCAATAAGTAACTAAAACAAAAAATCGAAACAAGAACACACATAGCGTATAGATATCGGTCTCACTTAATGATAGTGTGTGTCTAGCATTTTTCGAAAGCATATAGGTATAGTACTTTTCCGTCACTCACCCCGATGATAAGATCATTACTTTTTAGTCACCAAGCTCGCTCTGAATATAATATCTCAGTGAAAGTAAATTTTTACTCACAGATTAAAAGAGCTAAGCATTATACTATATATTTATAAGATGTCAATAAAAAATCAACAAAGACGATTAAAAGGGAAATTTATCCATCTTATTAAATTTTTTGTAAATCTCAGCAGCACTGAAAAGGATTTTGCTGATAAACTCGAGACTACAAATGGCATAATTATTTGATGGGAAAGCTAATCAAGCTAAAAAAGATAGAAAATAATGTCAATTTCAATATATGAATGGTTATAATTTAGAAAACAATATTTGATTCAATTTGGAGGGACCCTTTTCCACAAAAAACGGCTAAAACGGGAAAAAATGCAAGATTCCGAAGTATAAAAAAGGGAAACATCAAGAAAAGAGGATGATGATAGCCCTCTTCACAAAAAGAGGGTGAGTGCAGTGATGTGCCCTATGTTTAGAATTCATACGTATAGTGGGGAGCAAGTAGCCTCAACATTCACAAAATAGCTGCACCACACCTTTGTCTTCGGAATCAACGCTCTGTTTTGCTCTACACATTATCGTTATTGATGTAAATCAGTAGGCGCTAGTCATATTTCTGTCTTTCTTCCTTAACACATAGTAGGAAATTCAACTTAAAAGAGTTATACATGTTCATCAATAAAAACGGAAATACCAAAACAATAGATCGTCCATCTGATCGCATGTAGCTGATTTCCTTTTAACTCGTTTTCCCCTTTTAAATTCAACAGTCTAAGGGGATATGTAAAAAGGAAAAAGATGGAGTGGCAAAATAAAGAAGGAAGCAAAATATAAATTTGAGCACTCCACATATGTTTGAATCGCGCCCTGACTGAATTCTCTCTATGTGCTCCTTGCATCATAACCGTCATATCTCCCTATCATTTGGGGTGTTTTACCCGTATCCTTCACACACCTTGTCAACGAGAAGTAGGTGGGATCGATTCATCCTGTGGGGTGACTAAAAAGTCGTCATAATACGCCCATCCGAGAGCATCACGTAATTCGACGGAAACACCGGTACTTGCGGTTGGCCAGAAGGGTAAAGGGGGAGCCCGTGCGTGTACATCACTGGAACGGGCGCGGGGTAGGAAGGAACGCTGTTGACGTTGCCAGCCTCCCCCACAATCGGGTAAACTGGAGGCATCGAAAACGATGGTGGCTCCGACCCTCGCGCGTTTGCGTCCGTGAAGACGCCGAGGTTTGTCTGCGGCCCTCCTCCTCCAGCCCCTCCCCCTGCCCCTCCGTCCATCGTGGGAGGAGGAGGCGGGGAGACGAAGTACATCCCACTATTCCCTACCGGAGTCGGGTGAAGAGGGGTGCTAACGGGCGCCTGCCCTTCCCCTCCGCCGCCTTCCGTGGCGGCAGGGGGGGGGAGGGGTTGAGGGCTCCCGTTGCCACGCCCAGCCGCGACCGCCGTGAAGGGGTTCACCCCGGAGTAATAAAGCACTGGCACGGAAGGGTTCGCGGGGTTTCCCGACGGCGTCGCCATCGACATCCCCCCTGGCAGGCTGGAAAAGGTTTTTTCCGATGGAGTGGTGACGGAGAGATCCCACATCGCGGGCGCCGCGCCGTGGAGAAGGGGCATCGAAAAGACCCCAGCTCCATGGTTCATCGGGAGCTGCGTCGTCATGAAGACGTTTCCCGCACTCGCGGAAGGGATGAAGCAACCCATTGAAGTAACCTGAGGAGGCAGAGGAAGCCCCCCTCTCTCCCCAGCGTGCGACCACGTCGGATCCATCGCGTAGCTCGTTGCTGCATCCCGTGTGGCGGGGCTTGCTGCGTCCTTCCCGTGAACTCCACCCGCCTCGACGGGTTTAAAATACGGCAACATTCCCTTTCGATACGCACGCGGGCCCTTGCCGGAATCGGAGAAGCCCTCCCCTCCATGGCCAGGAAAGCCAGCCCAGCTGTCGAGGTTGCCAGAAGTGGAGAAGCCCCCTTTCGCAGGCTCCTCTATCTCCTTCGACTTGACGGTCGTGAGAAAGGGCCCGCAGTGCGGGGAGAGGAAGATGCGGTAAAGCTTGCCGTCGTAGCTACGCTCCTGCTGATCAGACCACTGGGTGGTATCGCTCTGGGGGGTTTCACGAGCACGAAGAATCTCCTTATGAAGTTGATCCAGATGCTGTTGGACCTTGGTGGTGAATTCGCGATCTTGTAAAAAGTACGCGGCCGCCTCGCTGCTTTCAAGCCAGTTGGCCACAAACTTGTCCTTGTACTGCGTGAAGTCGTTGAGGACGAACTGCATCCAGTTGCCACGTTGCATGTGCATGGAGGCGAGGTTGGACATCCAGAGCCAGACACGGGAAACCACCTTGCCATCGAGACGAATCAATAGACGTTGCTGCTGATTATCTTCATGCCATATAAGCGACGGCAGGGACTTAGTGGCGCCAATGTCATTCATAGCCCACAGCAACGCGGCAGTGTCGTACACAAATTTTAGTGTAGGGTAATTATTCCAGAGCGCGCTTACAAGCATGCGCACTGCTTCGTAGCGTTGTTGAAAGACATGGATGGGATTCACATCCGGCATAGACCGTACGAGGATCTGTCTATACTGCTCAACGTAAAGCCTCGCTGCGAGAATGAGAACCCGCTCCACCGTCCGATCACCCGCGGCCTTCAAGACGATGTTGTACAGCTGTAGGTAGGGAACGTCGTCATCGCTTTCGTCCTTCTGCGCACGACAACCAAAATAGCCAATAACGTTAGCCTTTCGCCCACAGAACGAGAAACAATCCGACTCTTTACGGCCGCTGACGTAAACAAACAGGACCGCACACGGTACGGGTCGTATAGCGCGCTTGCAGCGACGCGCCTTTGCCACAGGTGCCGCGATCTCCGAATGCACGACACTCTCTTCCAGCTTGGAGGTGTTGGCGTCTGCGGGAATGTTGACATTATGGGGAGTTAAGTGAGCTCTCCCATCGATTCCAGGCGATGCCGTGGCCCCAGCACCTTGTCCAAGGAAACGGTCGAAAAAGACCTTTTCCGTAGTCCCCCCCACCTCCGTTTCGCCGTTGGATAATCGCGACTCTCCTCTCTCGGGTAGCTTGAACAGGCGTTCTTTACCCCGACTTTCCATAGTCATACCATCAAGGATATTTGAGCTATCATTAAAGGATTCAAGAAGCAGGGACGACGGGATAAGATTCTGTTGGGATTCCTTTACGCTCATCCCACCAGAGGAAGCGCAATGCGGGAGTACAAGATTCGCGGTGGAAGATTCGAGTGATTCGAAGGCATCAAATGTAGGAAAATTTAGAGCGGCAACGGCAGGGTCCTTATCTTTTAAGCTTCCCCTCTCGTTGCCTGGGAGCGACCCTGCGTTGCCTGGGTGAACCACGCCTCTATCAACGTCTCTTGTAGATGATCCAGACGGTTCATCCTTTCTTCGAAGACCACTCATGAACGCGGCGATGGTATCGGGGTTCATGGAAGAGCCCGATGCTCTGTTAGACTCCTCACGCTCTCTGGACGCATAATACTCAGCCGCTTCCATGGAAGCTTGCATAAACTCCTCGTTGGTGTCGAAGAGATCCTTCTCTACAACATCCAAAAACGCCTCTAGATCGTCCTCAGTATACATCGGTGGCGGGAGGAGAGTAACAGGAGTACCATTAGATTGCGGATAGTGGTAACGAACACTAGGGTCGTTCCAAACACGAATAAACTGGCGCTTCATCTCCCTATTGTTGTCATTAAAGTAACGCCGAAGTAAGGGAACAAGCCCAATTTCGTGGCCGCCATACCGAAGCGAAAAAATGGTATCCGGATTTTCTCGGGAAGGTATAGCTCCCATTATGTGTATGAATGTAATAGCTCAAATGAGAAAAAAAAAATCGGACAAACCGAACAACTAAAAAAAAAAAGTTATGTAAAAGAGTCTAAAAGTATCAACTATATGGTTTGTTTCCCCCTTTCTTTCTCATGTATTACCCCCTAAGCTATCCTTTAAATCTCTAGGGTGCGTCCTTCAAATTGTATAACCGCTCTGCTTTAGGCTATCTCTCGGATTCTACAATAAAAATTGTAGATTCCTGATAAGAAAAACAGAGCAAATCAATGACTTTTGTTGCTAGAAGAAGCAGAATTTAATTCTTGGTAACAAAAGCAAACTAAAGCAATAATATTTTTTTTAAATCTCGCACACCTTCGCTTCGAAGTAGACTACGAGCAAACGGAAATAATATTTTAATGATAACAATATAAAGAAATTAAATTGGGCCAATTATAAAATGAAATTAAGAAAAATCGGGTAAAAATGGGGAGTGGTGGATCTTTTCCGAATGTTTGCGTGTAGATATGTTAGTTGTGATATAATAACTGATACGGGAAGAAATACAATAAGGGCAGACAAAGAAAGAAGAACTGTGTAAAATTCAAGAGAATTGATTAAATTTATTTTCTTTTAGGTCCTTAATGAATTGACGGAAGCAAGTTTGTTTTTCTTCAAGTTACCGAGAAGTAGTTAAGGCGATGTAACTTTTAAATGCTGAAAAAAGTCGACAAAATGGAATGTCGATATTTAGAAGTGTCTAAACTCAAAGGCTTTAATGATACGACTTATTTGGTTTCGTGGCGATGAAAAGCGGCTTTCTACTTTTTATTGTCTTGTGTGGTATTCTATCGTGGGGTATCTCAACGATATATTTGGTATTTGTGCTGCCACTTTCCTCCCCAATAATAGGGCAACCTATACCCTTCCCCTTTATTTAAAAAGGAGCTAACAAAAATATAGAACAATCCCTTGATTATAAAGGATCAGAAAAATCTCAAAAGGGATTTATATATGTAAAAGAAGACCAAAAATATGTTATTTTTACAACAAAATCCAGTAAGAAGCAGAAAACAATTCTGCGCGTATGTGTATTAATATGTCTTCTTGATAACTGTTACCGGATAGCTTTAGATTTTGTGATGGACACCTGTCTATTCAGACTTTGAATTAATTAAGTGAAAAAAACACAAATCAAGGAGCTTTCTTGGAGACTCCACTGTTTAGAGCAATACCCTAAACGCTTTTACCTACCTCTCAGTATTATATATATATAAATATGTGTGTGAGTGCGTGTGTGTGTCTGTTTGTTTGTTTACAAGAAACTCTTCTTACCTTTTATGTATGGAAATTTCCCCTTTGGTCCTGACAAATATTTAAGTGCAGAGAAAAGGGTAAAAAAATAGCGATTTCTTTCTGAGAGAAAATATTTTGATCAAATTTATAGCTTATATATATACGTCTATATTAATTCCTAAGATTTCTATCTTTGAGACGAAACGAAAACGATTCAAGAGGAATAGCTAATTAAAGGCAAAAGGGAAAAGTATTTTTATTATATAAAGAGACGCAATCTTTCTGTATATAAAAAATAAAAAATTATGTTGATTCCTATATTTTTCTTTGCAGATTTAATGATATCTATATATCCTTGTCGCTAGGTCGGAAGGAGAAAAGGAAAAAGAAAAGATTGGGGGGGGAAAGGAAAGTAGAATAATCTTAAAAGCTCATGAGAAGTTGCGCTCACAGGATTTCAAAGCTAAAGTGCTCTAACCCATTTGGTAAGGATGAGCTTATGCAAGAGATATATTATACGTAATCTAGTTATTCTCTGCCATTACAAGCAACCTCCTTTCATTTTTAAATCACCACTATCAAAATTCATACCCCATCCTGTCCCACTCATGCTTCAACAGAAGATAAAAGGAAAACAACAAACACTGCTAAGTTAACCTCAACAAAACTAATAAATATAACGCAGAACCACAAGACAGAAAAGAAGACACTTTTAAAAATTATAGCCTGACTTCATAGAAGGCAAATATAGAAAAAAAATGAAGGAATCCGACATAAACTTTTTTACTTGAGAATAACAAAGAATAAAAGAAAATTTCTGAAAAGTTTTAAAAATTTATTCCAAAAAACGCTTAACAAGACAAAAAAAAGAAAGATTTTCATGCCACACTTCATCTTATACCACAATTTTTTTTGAGTTTACACAAACAAAGATGTAAATGTTTAGCAACAACAAAATGAAGGAAATTAGATGATACACGTTATGAGGTTGTGGCCTGCTCCTCTCTTCCATTTAAAGGAAACAAATGTCGAAGGCGGGGAAGGAGAGAAAAGCAATCTTTTTCTGAAGCGGAGGAAATCATTCATTTTTTTAAACGGAAATTTCTGTGATGCTATTATTGTTTTTTTTCCTGAATACCACATTGCCACCTTCTTATTATAGTAAGAAAAAAGCATGAGATGAGGCTAAACGTACGAAAATGAGGTGAAAAGTATATGTTAAATAGGAGGACTAGTCGTTCTCATCTTTTTCGTCCAGACTACAATAGATGAGTGGCAACGGGAACACAATAGGAGATAAAACGAGAACATAAGCATTCACAAAAGTGAGAGAATATATGATTTTGAATGAAAACGTGTCGTCTAATCATAAATAAGATAGATTTAAAACTAAAGTTTCAGGAAAACCTTAACTCTATAGTCTCGCTCTAGAAGAATGCGATATGTAGACACGTCGTTTAGAAACGAAGCACGCATATATTACAAATACCAAAAAATTATCATAGCCAACGCAAAAAAATAGCTTAGAACAAATGAAACCAGTACACGCACCTTTAAGTGTGCATTTCGTATTTGATACAATATATAACCATATATTGTGTCAAGAATTGCATTTTTAAAACGGATAATTACCCGCATCGACTTTTATTATATTGATCCTTTAGTTATGGTGCAGCTTTTGTTTATTGTGTTATTGTGATTCATCAAGATTAAAAATAAAAATAAGCGCGAACCATAATAACTACTAAGCATCGATAGTCACCCTTTTTTTTCGTACCACAAACGTATTCAGAAAATGATCATATTAAAATACTTACAAAACAATGCATTAAAAATGCAGTGAGAACAGGTGAATTTCTGATTTTTACACATTTCTTATCTCTTTTCTCCCTTTGACGTCGTTAATACTAAAACAATACATTTTATAGCACCCTTATTAATACGAGAATTTGTCACTTTCTCCCTATAACTTACATAGGGAGTGCAAACGAGTTCAATACAGCTATAAACAACAATGCTCTAACTTTTAAAATAATAATAAAAGGAAGAGAAAACTTCATAGATAGTTCGACCAATGAGAATTTGTGTACCTCCAATTAGTCTCCTTTTAAAGAAAAAGAAGACACTTCCCATCGGAAGGCTTAGAATGATGAAGTTAGGGAAAAGTAAGATCATGTAAAGCTATGCATGCACAAATGTGGGAAAAAAACGATAGATTCGGCATTGCAGACCTTCTCTAAAGGATTTCAATTATATTTATTACTTTTTATACCGAGAACCTCCCACAAGCAGTGCAGCAACCAAGCACACACGAATTTATGTTATAAAGTGCAATATAGTAAAGGAAAAACGCAGATAAATACCAGAAAAGTACGAATACCGTTAAAAAAAACTTCCAAAGGAGAACCACTCTACCCCTATTTCAGCTCAGAAAAGCAAATTAATTTGCATCGAGAAATATATCAATTAAACAAAATCGAAACACTTTTTGAATATATTTTACTTATATAATAATTATTATTATTAATGACTCAAGGGCTATACCCTTACCTTCAGTGTATTCGCATTCATACCCCACTCCACTCCACTCATCTTTTCTTTTCTTTTAGTAATCGTCGCTAGCCTTTAATTATCAAAGAAAAAACGACTTGGGTCGCAAAGGTTGACGTCATCGTCGTCGTCGTCATCTCCTTTCTGCGTGTGAGAGGTTTTCCCCGTGTTAGATTGGAGCCCCTTTATGGCCGCTGTCGCGGCAGCGAGCGCCATATCCGTGTCGTCAGTATCGGTATCCCCATAATGGAAGAGGGGCTGGTTGTAGTCATCTGCATAGTTACTTTGCGGCATAAACCACTGCGTCGGTGTGCCTGAATCGGAGCTCACAAGGCGGCTGGCCGCGAACTTCGCGAGAGCGTCCTGGGCAGGCCGTTGTTCCGCTTCATTGGGCGGTCTAGGTACAGGCTGAGAAGGGGCATTGCTATTATCATTGGTACCCAAAGGTACCTCTATGGGAAAGTTGCTCGGGCTCTGACTAACACCGAACTCTAGTGACTGAACAGCGGACCCTTTTGGAAGCTTGTTGGCTCCTGTAGCCGTCTGCTGTAAGAAGGCAGAGATATTCGAAGCTTCTGGGGTAGGTTTCTGGTTGCCGGATGAAATCTCTGATGACTGCTGCTGGACACCTGTTCCAATGTTAGAGGAGTGGCTTTGAAGCACCGCACTATTCAAATGGGGGGCTACCATATTGTTCGATGCGCTGACCGATCCAGAGGGCACTTCAAGCTGCGTCATGAGCATGTTACTGTCATTGTTATTCATAGCAACAGCTACGGAAACGTGTTGTTGGTTGGGATGCTGCTGATGCGGTTGAAACTGCTGCTGTTGCTGCTGCTGAAGCTGCTGCTGTTGGAGTTGCTGTTGGAGTTGCTGTTGTTGATGCGGTTGAAGCTGCTGCTGTTGGAGCTGCTGTTGGAGTTGTTGTTGGAGCTGCTGCTGTTGAAAATGCTGCTGCTGCTGCTGCTGCTGCTGCTGTTGTTGTTGTTGTTGTTGTTGAAGTTGTTGCTGCATCGCTAGTATATTGGAAAGGGACTGTTGAGTAGTCAATTGGTTGTAAAGCATAATATCCATAGGGCCCTGAGTCGTCGAGACAGGTATAGCCATCAGTTGACCATTGGCACCCATAACGTACTGGTAAGATATTCCACCATATGAAGCGGCATTAGGTGGCAACATCAGCTGTTGCTGTTGCGGAGGGACCTGTTGTTGTTGGTGCTGAGGGGGCGGTGGTGGAGGCGCTTGGTTAGGAAAATGGAATGAAGGTGCCTGATGTGGGTACACTATGCCCAACTGTGATGGCGTCCCGCACGTGTAGGCCTGTCCAGTGGAATTTGGCATCACCAACTGAAACTGCATATTGAGTGTACTAAAAACATTCTGTGTGTGTGGCAAAGATGGTGGTTGCTGCATGCACATTCCATGTGGAGGGGCCATGTAACCCACACCAGGGTTATACATTAAAGGCATAGAAGCTGCACCGCTTCCTTGTACAACGGGAATGCCGGCTCCTCCCAACTGAGTCGAAAACATCGGAGGAAGCATGCCAGCATGCATTAGGGTCGCTGCCGTTCGAGGATTGCCCATAGTGCCTATCGGCAGTGCCGCTGCCTGTGCCGCTGCCTGTGCTGCTGCTTGTGCATTTTGCAGAGCCTGCTTGTTCTGCTCTTCGATAATGGCACCTCGGGTCATCCAGGACTGTATTGCCGCGCTAATCAGCTCGCTGCCAAAGAGACGTTCATCCTCTTCATTCTGGTCCAAGTAATCCTGCAAAGCCTCGCGGTAGGACTGAAGCAGGTGACGGCGCTCTTTCATTAGGGGGCCAAGGTCACAGCGGACGTAGTTGCCCTTCACCGTCTCGAAGGCCGCGGTTTCCGTTACGTACTTCATGAAACGTGCAAACAAGCCACCCTCAAGAACGACCTCCACTCCATACTGACCCGTGTGGTGCTCATAGAATGAAAACTTCGGCATGCGACTGGTGGTCTGACGATAGATGTCATCCTGCTCACGTGTCACGCGCGACTTTTTCGCCACACGTTTCCGTCCACGGCGGGAACGACGTACCGCAGATGTGCTAGTGGAACCAGGTGCCGCTCCACTGCCATTACCCTCCACTGTGAGCTTGGCGTCAACCTCCACCCCTTCGCCCAGAAGGTCAACGTTCAGTGAGTTCCTTGAGCTCTCACACGTGTCAACCATCTCTTCCGTGAGGCCAGTACCCGTAATGCCGTCCTTGGCGACGTTAAGGCTCTTGCCAGAAGGCGCCACAACCGCGGGCCTGTCGCTGAAGCCAAGTTTGTCAACATACTCGATTAGCGGAAACTGTTCATAAAAAGCCTTAAGCTCCTGATAGCGCTCCGGAGTGAGCACAATGTGCACATTAAGGAGCTGTAGATAATTATAGTAAGCCTCTTCGATATCCTTGCTAGCGACTGGTTTTTGCCACATGCTGCAAGTCATAAACTGGGAACGAAAGGTCATGCTGGCAAGGAAAACGATCGGCTCAAGCAAGTAGGAGTAATCCTCATCATTTTCGAGTATGACTTCAAAGTAGACGTCACAGCCCTCAGAAGAGCAGTTGCCCAGGCGTGGAATCTTATGAGACGGGGGCGCAGACATTCCCGGCAAGGTCCCCGGTGGAAACAAAGAGGATGGCACCATCGGTGGGGGTGTTTTTGTCTTGTTCTGTTTGCGTGTCGCTGAAGCACCTGCTGCTGAAGCCGAATTACCGAATGTGGAATTGGCGCGCTGTTGTTGATAAACCACATCATCCGCAGATTCTAAACTAAAACAGGACAAATAGCCAATGCAGTGGAGCCTCCTTCCGTGCAAACTGGTCAGTTCAGTGGGCTTGATGCCATTGATGGTCTGAGGAATCCCACCACCAGCGCTCTGGTGGTTTGAGTTGCCAGTGGCATCGAAAGCTGTGTACGGTTTACTGCGGTTTGTGTTATCAGGTTCAACGGCGCAGATGACACAGGGAACGGGTCGCATAATGGGGATTTGACTTGCATCAGGTTGTGACTGCGGCATGGCAAACGACTTTCCAGTGCCACTAAAATTAGACATGGGGTTGAAGATGGGATCCGTGGCATTTCTCTTGTGAATATCTACATCAAATGGCTCAGGAAGTTTAAGATCCTTTGGAGGGCTCCACGGGTTTGCCACCTTAAGAGTAGAAGTTCCCACTTTTGTATTTCCCAGTGTGGCAGGCTTAGATGCCGATGAAGTTGCAGCTTCGGGACTTAAGCCAGTGGCACCACCAGTAGTGGCAGTCTTGGAGTGTTGGATTGTTGCCGCATCGAGGAACTCCTCATCCTCAGCACGTCTTTTGGAGTCACGCACTGCCTGAATAGCCGCGACCTTCTTCTTCACTGCATCTAGATTTTGGTAGATGACGCGGGTACTTGTGAAGAACGAGGCCTCAACCTCACCCAAAAGGTGGTCCATCTTCTTGTACGCATTCATAGCGCGCACCCGGTTCTGCGCCTCATCACTGAGGGCAGCATTTCCATTCCTATTTCCAACCTCGAAGCTTCTAAAGCTGCTGGAACTGACTTCAGTCATGTTAATTGCATGCTGGGATGTCTCAGTCACCGAAAGAGGAGAGGCTGGTGGTGTCCCTGCACGCGAAGTTTCCCCAGAGCTCGCATTTGTATTAGTACTGTTAATGCTCATATGATTGTTGTTGTTGTTCATTGCATCCTGCATCGCTAATACAGCCGTCTGAGTCGCGTTTGGAGGTCCCTTTAGATAACTTTCTATAACAGCATCCTTCAAACGCCTGTTATTGTCATTGAAATATCGCCTTAACAAGGGCACCAAGCATAACTCCGTTGTTCCTCCAACTTTGTTGGGCTGAACTGCTGTTGTAAACAGGAAGCCTGGCGCATCGTGAGACGGGAATCCACCCATAGAAAAGGTTTAAAAATGGGCGATACTCTCTTATTAATTAACAAAAATAATTTCAATTCGTTTACTCCCCTAACTTTTATTACAAAATCGCTTCTACTTATATATATATATATTTATTTATATATATATACCTATTATACGTGTATATATAATAGGTGTATGTATTTAAAAAATATTCCCGCCAGCTATGTTTACAGGCTTTAGTTGCAAAACGAGAAAAATCGGGAAAAGAACAAAAAGTGATCCAATAACCATATATGCCTTATCACGATACGTTACAACATATAACTTAAGAGGACGAACAAAAAAATCTAAGTATTCAAAACGCAAAACAGATGGCCAAACGGCACACATACACCAATAGAAAGCAGCTCAACAAACACAGTCCAGCAACAATGCGAAGATACACACTCCAATGTGAAATATCGACGTTTTGTGCATTTATGCCTAAGAAAGTAAGAAAGAGTGAAAACTAAAAGTGGATTCTGCAAGGATCTGGTCGTAAAAATATGGACGAGTAAGGACAAAGAAGAATGTCACAAAACGACTATGTAATATTCTGATAAGGCCAGATTAGTTGGCAGCTGCCTCTCCATTATTACTAAAGGAATAAGTGCCAATAACATTTGACAACCAAGTATGTGGAAAGGTAGAAAAATACGAAAACACGATCATGCAAATAAGATGTATATTCGAAAAAAAACTCTATATATACACAAATTTCAATAAAAACATATGAATGTCACTTCAACAAATCTATATTTTTCACCCAAAACACAACTTGTTTGATATATATGTATATATATACGTATGAATGCATGTGTGTCTATTTATATTTTATTACACTCATCTTGTATTCAAAGCGTGATGCGAAGGGAAAAAATACGTAAAGCGATAACTTTCTAGAAAGTATAAGGTCTCTAAACGAAACCACCGTGTACCGAAAAGGAAAATTAAAGAAGAAAAATAAAATATAGTGTATACCCTTATTTCTTTATGAATGAGGAGAGATACTTTCCATCTGAGAGTGAAGAAATTAAGGATAGGTTCATATGTGCCACAAAAAAAACACTTTTTATTCCACTTTTTTGTGCTACAACATGAAATGATTCAATTCAACAGCAAGCACAAGACGACATGAATAAAATCAAAGAATAGACGCCCCCTTCACCCCCATTTCACCATACCTAAAACGAAAAGGGGTAATATATCAAAATGAAAAATAACAAAAAAATCCTCTTGGAGTAAAATTCGGAAGGGTAAAAAGGTAAAGGGACTCGAAATATTACTCTAAGATGACTTCCCTTTCTTCTTAATTCCAAAAACTTGCATCCTTTCTTAGTCTTGTCATTACTCGATCCCTCCATTTTGTCACAAAGGATGCAGGCATCAGTACATGCTCCTCTTCAGTGGCAATGTACTGGGACACCAAGTCTCCAGGTTTAATACTGCGCGCGTAGCTCAATACAAAGTTGCACAAATCCTCAAGAATACGCTCCGCTATGATGATCTTGGTAGTCATCTGTGCCTCCTCCAGCTGCGGCTTTACACTCTGAGATAAGTTTTGGATGCTGTCCTCAGTCCCCAACGCGAGTCCCAGAACAATGCGCACCGGCTGGTCAACGTTAAGAAAGGTATTCGGGGTTTGGATAAGTGAACTTGGGTTCTGTGCAGTGAGAGCTCCAACATACACAAACCCACCGTTAGGATCCATCTCCCGCGCGAGGTAAACCTCGATACCGCAGCCAGCTGGAAGGGGAACGCTTTGGGTGAGGAACACTACGAATGATTTGGGGGCATCCCCAAGAGCTACTGTCCAATGAGTCGCGTCCAGGGCCTGAAATGTTAACCACACCGGGCGCCCGGGGACCACCACGCCGAATGGATTTTCTGTGAGGACAGCTGGCGCAAGCGGCACTCCTTCTCCACAAGATGTGGCCATCATGCCTTGGAAACCGTCCATTGGGTTCATAGTATGGGTATATATGCTTTTGGTTTATTCGATAATAACAAGTATACTTATTCTTAGTTCCTTTGTCAACAGTCAAGAAAAAGAGTTGGATCGCTTTGGTAATATAAGATAATCAAAGAACACCCATGATAAACACTACATAAGCTCCATGAAATCTCTGTAGTATTCGTCTTTTTTATTCCTCTGTATGCATATGCGTATGAGAATTCAAGTAAAATTTTGTGTAAACGAATCGCTCAATTGATGCACTAATAACAGAGAGAATAAATATCAGGGCAATACCTGGTGTATTATGCCCATCAAGTCTAACGTTTGTCCGCAAATCCATCCAGATAAACATGACAAAGGAGCGTCTGCAATACAAAAAGGTGGAAACAACTACCTACAAACGTTTCTTTACAAAGGGAAGTTCCTATGATTTGCCCCAGTCATCCTTTACGACTCTAATGACCACTTTTTAGTCTCTGGTTCACAAACCTACCTCGTTTACACTGGTTTCGAATCCTGGTCTGCTGAGATACGCTTGGTTAGACCCTCCCAATGCCAAGCACAGTTTACGGCCTCGTTCTCCATGACATACGGCTTACCCTCAACATAACCTGGGTCGAACTCCCGGATAGCTGCGATGCCCTGTACCAAAAGGTTTTGCATCGTAACGATGTTGTCATCCATACGCTTTGCTGCCTCGTTGAGGTCCTCTTGAGCCCGCCGCACCGCGGCTTCCGCTTCCTCCGCCTCCTTACGCTTGCGTATGATCTCATCAGCGTGAATCATATCCTTCACCTCGTGCATGCGGCTCTGATGAATATAGTAATAATACAGGTTATTTGTTTGGTTTTTCTCTGCGTAAACCCATTTCTGAAGCTTGGCAATTTTCAAAACCAAGCGCAGGTGCTTAGCAGAGTCAAGAGGGACATCATCCTGCTGCTTGCATACCTCCCAGAAATCTATAAGGCGTATGGGCTGGTGAAAGTACAGTAGTTTAAGCACATAGTTTCGCGGCAGATCGCCAAGGTCACGCGGAATTGCCTTGAGATTGTTCTGCATGAGCGGCCGTTTGAAGAGTTCACGTATGTTAGAGTTGAAGCGTGGTTTATTGCAGAGACGAATCATTGTAACCTCACTACGGTAAGGAACCGTAAGGCGGTACTCCTTGCCAGGTCGCCGGCCTAACGGACCTTTAGGTCGGCCGAGTCTAAAGAACGTATTCCTAAGCATACGATGAGCAGCAACGGCAACTGGTACCTGTGTAAACTATAAATCCCGATATTGACACAGAGAAAATGAACGTCTTTTAGATGGGAAAAAATAAAGAAACGCAACGAAGAGGAAAGAGGGGGTGGTGAAGGGGGAATGGTCTTTACATGGAAAAAATCTTTAGGGGTTCATTCAAGAAGGTGCATATCGGACATCAAGCCATAGAGTGACTGATATATCCGTACTTATAGCCTTTGGGTATACCGTCTCGATAAATAGCTCGTATTCTGAAAAACGTTTGATCAAACATTGAGTAAGCGAAAAGGGTTTAAAGAACAACAACAACACCTGTGCAAGAAAAAAGTGTCGAAAGCGCTTGGAATTGTTCAAGCAATTTTAATATTTATGTAAAGTATATATGCATTAGAAAACCTCTATGAATACATGGGGTTCGATACTGTTAGCATAGAGGATCTAAACGCAAACATGCATAGAGCTCTAGTCTTAAAATTAACTTATTCTTCATTTACGTGCGCATATAGCTAAAATGAAAAATGACACCTTGGGTAAAAAGATGTTTACGACTTTCACGCTTATTGTTCAAACAGAATGACTAAATTGATGGTAACTGGAAAAACAGGTCGCAGTACATTCTGATAGATATTGAAACTTACCTTTGAAATCCCTAATTTGCGCTCCCCTTTTTAGCTTGCATCTGCTTTCTCCATACACCCATTCACGATTTATCATTTTCAGAAAGGAACGAAACCCATGTTATGCTATTTATTAAGCGTTCTACTAGGGTAGAAAGGATAAGCAAACAAGAAGACATAATTACTCTATTACTTCCGAGCTCCCTACCTGCCAACTAGTAATTTTAAAAATTGGAAAATAGTTTCCCGATCTATGCTCATTCACAGATAAAGAAACCTAGATGACCACCTCCTTTAGATCGGTAATAACCGTGCATAGCACCTGGTATTGTCTTTTATATTTGCTCCTTTAGTACCTTTCGCTTTCTGAATGCAAGTAAAAACAATAACTTCACACCATATGATCATTATCATGCCTCACCTTTTAGTCTATTTGGAGGTACCTTTCCGTTCTCAGTGATTTGGGTCACTAATTCACGTACATCGTCTGAAGCGTCACTCTTGAGTTTGTCCAAGATAATGTGGGCCTCACGAAAAGAAACCTTTCTTGCGTTATGCAGTGCCAGAACCGCTCGGCACACGTTCAATCGAACATTCGCGACCGGATCATCCCGGAGCTGCACTAGAATCGGCCAGACAGCTGTCTCACAAGTGCTGCTGTCAAAAGCGGCAACGTCAGCCAGACCTGCGTACAAATGACAAAGCGAAACTCGGTGAAGGTAGTTTTTATCCTTGGCGATGGGCTCAAGCCGCGGGAAGAGGACACGCATGGCCCACGTGGGACCGTTCTCTCCTACAAGGCGACAGCAAGACTGCGCTGCGGTGTCGCGGATAGTCGCGACTCGGTCGGTTAGGCGTTCAATACAGACGTCGAGAATATCCTCGGCGTTTTGGCCCAGTGCGCTGATAACGGACGGCACCTGCGACACAACGGTTTCTCGCAGTCGCCACTTCGGATCCGAGGCGAGGGCGATGATGACTGGGACCAACTTGGGCGCGAGGTCCCTCGCCTCAGAGGTATTGCCGATCGAGCTGAAGCCTGAAACAAGCGCAAGGCGCACGTCGGCCTCCGTGTCATTAAGAAGCCTAGTACAGGTTGGAATAATGGTAGTATCCCAGAGCTCTTTTGGGACGTTTGCCACGGATTTGAGCACCGCACTCGCCAAGCTCATCCGGACGTGACTACTTTCATCTGATATGAGACGTGTCCCAGTGATGAGGATGTCCTTTTTTCCATTCAAATCGCGGCAGGCTGTGACCATTCCCTCCATGTTGAAGACAGCAGAGGCACGTATTTCAGGCTCGGTATCCTGGCAAAGGGCGCGAAAGATGGGAATGGCAAACCTCACCACGTCTGGCGGCGTCATCGCAGCTGCAAGAATCCCTAGGGAGTCTGCGGTCATATAGCGTACCCGCCAGGAGTTATCCGCCGAGAGGACCTTGATCAGACCCAAAACTGAGCCGTGGTGAACCTCCGGCAGCACCTTCAGGACGGCCGCCGCGGTAGGCACTACCTGGAGGCGAACCCCATCGCTGGTGGCCTTGGAGAAGCTAACCAGGACGGGGACAAGGTCAACCACTGTTTTGGGGCTGAGAATGCCTGCAAGCTTTGCGCCCATCGCTACACATGCGGCCCGACGCACCATGATTTCCTCGTCAGCACAAAGCGCCTTGAACATACTGATAAGGTTTGCCCGTTCACTAGATGTGACGCTCGGGTAGACTGTCGCGATCAGACTGCAAACAATGCTCCGACACTGTGGTGTGCCTTGACTGAGTCTTTCCAGAAGATTTAGGTACTCCATGCGCGCCTTGTCTGCCATCTCAACCTTGCTGCTTGTACCACGAAAAATATTCTCACCAATGTGTTCCAACGACGCAACAATCTCATCACGCACAGTAACCTCATCTAAACTACAGAGTATCTCAAGTGGATTAAGGAGAGAGGTGATGTAGGCCACGCCACCGACCTCGGGAAGCATAGTCCCCAGAGCGTTTGCAAACACACGTAGAACGTCGTCGTTGTCATCTAGGTAGTCTGTCAAATAGAGCAAGAGTTCGTCACGAGTGCGTTCCGGTCCAAGAGTGGCAGCGATGAGATGGATGCCCCGCATACTACTAAGGCGAAGCTCTGGGTCTTCGGAACGGAGGTTATCGATCATCTTCTTCACAGATTCTATTTGCTCCATTTTTGAAGTCGGATTGAAACCTCTAGTGATCCTGAGCTTATACTACCTTTCGTGTGTATCTCTTTTTTTTCAAATTATCTGTATATTCTCTAGTTGTGTTAGTGATGAATCCAAGGTTTACTGAGGTTTCGATAATCTACAAAATATGCGTACACGTAGCGTGTTATAAAATATACCTTTGTGTTAAGGTTCAGAAAAAGCCAATAAAAGTAGACCTCTTCAATAGGGGGAAAACTATTGCCAATGAGTATAAAATATGAAACTTTGAAACCTACCACCTCTCTTCGTTAGGGAAGAGCAAGGAAGTGAAAAAGATGTAAAGAAAAAGAGCAACCTAACTTCAAGTTTATCCCATTTTTCTATCAACAGTCTGTCACTACTGAAATCAGCAATCACATTGAAACCTTCTTTTGTTTATGTAGATGTTTATTATCCGCCGGGCATTTGGTCGTCACTTAGAAATTATACAAATACTTGAATTTCATCATACTTCTGATGCTAGATTTTAGTAGTTTCGGAGGACACTTTGGTCCTTAATTGGTCCTCCGTAAACCTTTACTCGTCATATCTAAACAAAAATGAATTATAGTGCCTCCTGGTTGTCAAAATGAGTATTTCTACGGCCCGCCAACCTTCAGTTAGTCGAGCCTCCAACAGCATTAGTCGTACCTGTCACTGCTTGAATTTTCGCACTCACATAAGCCCTCGCACGCTCCTTTACCTTTTCCACATTTTCTGGCGTTCCGTAACCTATCTCAAAGTTCAGGAAGCGCGACAAAATCTGATGCGTAACCTTGGCGCTGAAGCTCATCGACACTGCTCGCTCAAAAAGGGTGCGAACATGGGTCACAGATGATTCCGGTGCGCGACGGGTTAGGAGTCCAAGCTCCTGATCTAGGTACGTAGACCAGATATCTGTCTTCTTTGGTGATTTCGCCAGAAAAGTCTCAAACAGTGCACGGCCACTCTCAACACTACCCTTTTTATATTCATGGATGGCAATGTGGACGATCGCTAACGCAGCTTCATTCCTCTTGAGCGTACTACTTATATCTTTGATAACACGCTTAAGCTGGTCACGTTTGTTCTGATCGACAAGGGTGATACCGAGCCGCTCCCATGCCGTGCGCTCATTACGGAACTTGCTTGTCATGTTCCGACACAACGCAAGGAGCTGGTTTGGCTTGTTAGACGCCGCATAGATATCCGCGAGACGCTCGTGTAAAACAAAGGGATTCAGCTGTCGCTGAATGGCACGCTTGAAAATAAGCGCAAGGGATTCCGCAGTGCCGTACAAATTCTCCAGGTTAAGATAGGCCACCCACACATTCAGGCGCTCATCCTGCTCTCTCACACCTATGGTGCTCAGCGCCTTCTCCGCGATTTGCCTCGCCTCTTCGTATTTCTGTAGGCCCACGTAGTAGGCCATGTACTGTGTCCATAGGTAGCTGCTGTTAGGATTGGCAAGTAAGAGGCGCTGAAATTCCTCTGGAGAGGATGGGGTTGCTTGGTCCATGCCACGCTCATACGCGTCAATAGCTTCCTCAAGTCGGCGGCGGCGGATGCGAGACTTGCCATCGTCACGATTCCCTGCATCGCCACCAAACTCATCGTCGCTTTCAACGTCACCCGGATGCTTGCTCTCTTCTGATTGCCGCCACGGGAAGCATCCAAACAGACCGGTGCTAGAACCACCACCCCCTTTGCGCTCCGACAACGCAAAAGAAAAGGAAGACATGGCAGGCACCAGGCACGCGTTCCCACGAACAGCAGGGAGGGATGCAAAGCTATCCATCTGGCGTCGGTTGGAAAGGACCACGAAAGGAAGTACCGCCTGGAGGGCCGCGACCTCGGCGCTGAACTCAACGGTCAGTTGGAGCTTGGCGCCGACCACCGGAGGCGGCGACGCACTATCCACCATGTTGAACAAATAGTAGCCGAGAATGCTGCAGGACTGCTGGTGGCCCTGAAGCGAAACGGTGGCCAAAATTTCTACCACCGCGCATCTGTCATCCGTGTTGGAAAGCAACACCCCCGCGGTGACCGTCGAGCCGGGTGGCATGGATGCGAGGGCGAGCGCCGCCATCGCGGTATCCAAGGGGGTGTTCTCCACCACCTGCGTCTTGAAGGTCACGTTCACAACATTCGCCTCCACATCGTAATTCAAAATCCGAACCTCACGCATAGCATGAGAGACGCCCATGATCGCTTTCGACTCCCCTCCTTGAAGATCTCGCTGCTCACCCGTTGCCTGCGCCCCTCCTGCCGCGGGACCCAAACCCTTGTTATCGCTGGTGCATGGAGCCCCTTCCTCTCCTCGACTAGCGTCCACCCTCTCGAGTGCCGCTACTGCCGTGAAGTTTGGTGGAATGGTGAGGACGGTCCCCTTGGTGTTACTTTTGATCACACGACCAGCAGTTGTGGTGCCAAGACCGACAAGCAAATGCTTTCTAAGAAGTCGCTGCAAAAGCTCACGAACCATAGGGGGATAGGTATAAAGGTCGCTCCACACCTCGGTTAGTAAAACTGTGAGCTGAAGATAACCCTGTGAATCCCGCTTGTTACGACAGAGGATGGCAGAGACATGCTCGCGTGCTGAAAAATTTTTGAAAAGGCACTCTGCAAGTTTGTCGTCGCCAAGAGTTTGCTTTGTCAGGCGACCAAACCCACCGTGACCGGGAAGTTGCACGAGGATCCCATCCGGCGAAGAATGATGCAGACGATATTCACGAAATATAGACCCCATGCATATAAATATACCGTATTAAAAGAACTAAATCACAACCTGGATGTAAGACTTTAAGTAAAAGACAAACTAATCAGTGGAAAAAACTCTGAAGATAGAAAAATTAAGCCCATAATATTCAAGTTGTGGTAAAATTTCATATTTAGGAAAATGAAGACCCAAATCTCTAAACATATACATATATATATATATAAAGAACGTATTCTATATGATAATGTTACGTATTTCCGATTGATAAAAAGTATTCTTGGTTAATGGTGATAAGTAAAGGTTATGATGATCACGAGAAGCAGCAAGAGACCAGCCCTATTTGCTCACCCAATACCAATTCAGCTTGCTTCTTGACCAAAATAAAAATGGAAACACGTGTGTGTATTTATACGTGTGTGCTTTTTGAAAGCACTATTGCACGAATTTAGGCATAAAACATACACAGCTGACGCGCAACAACGCGCATGTGTATGGAAATAATTTTCCAAGAGGAAAGTAAGCAAAAAAAAAAAATGCATCTAAGGATTTGAATAAGCTATACGGCATCAGGACTAATTATTCTTATTCCATTTTTATTACTGTCTTTGTCTAGGTAAAAGAAAACTGTGAGATGTATCGTGCTCTACAAGCTGATCTAACTTATTCCCATAATTGATCTAACAATATTAAAACAAACTCAATGCGGCTAATGGAGGTGGAATGCGGGCTCATCGATCAACACGGTGACGTTGAACAGAAGCGTCAACAGCAATGACGTCCCATGAGTGGTCGTCGTCAGGTGTTGGTAGTGGTTGTAGTAAACTCACCATTTACACCTTCGGTTGCTTATGGGTCCTCTGTAACTGCTCGTCAAGCTCCTCAAAACGCGTGCGCCAGTAGTGCGCTTCCCTGCGGGCTACCTGTAACAAGTTCTGGTGCCCGTTGCGCTCCTTTTCCAACATCGCCCGCAGCTCCTGGCTCGATTTACTTTCTTGCTGCATTCCCAAGTTAAGAAGTTCGATGCGCTCCTGCCGGATCTTAAGTTTTTTCTCTGCTAGCTCCAGCTTCAGCGCAACAGAGTTTCGGGACTGGGTCTCCTTCGCGAAATTTTCGTCCATCTCACGAATTCGCTTGCCCAATGCCAAAATACACGACACGGCCTCATTCAGTAGGGCCGTATTGTCGTAGCTGGTGGGACTTTTTTGCTGAAAAGCGACAACGTCACGACTCTCGACGTTGCCAGGATCATTGACAGAATCGTGTTTGTGCTCAGCAAGACAAGGAACCCCACTAGACACTGATAACTCCTGATGGTGAAATGGAGTTGATTTGGAGCTTTCCAATCCTAATTGATGTACCAGTACGGAGTGAAAAGGCGAACCCAACTTATCCAAGAGTTGAAGGGTAAAGGATATGACTTCATTTGAAGTTTGTAAGGAAAGCCTCTCCTTCTCCTCCTCGCCTTCGTAGTTGCAAGACTGCTTCGGGGATTGGCTGTTGTAAGCGGTCAACAAAGGCCCGACTACCATATTGCCCACTGACGATGCTGCCTGAAGATTATCCGGTGCGGAAAACACTTCGTTTCCAACATTTCTGTCGTGGTAATCCAGAAACATATGCATTGAAGTGCCTGGCGATACGTTGAGGTTCTCCTCTATCGTCACCGGTATTGAGGCTAAGGAATTTTCGCTAGGCCTCCTAAATGGTGATGTGGCAAAAGTAGAGCTCAGTTCGGCAGGAATACCGATCTGAGACCCTTCAAGAACTCCCAACACAGGGTTGTGTTGGGAAGAAGCAGAAGCACGAACCGCTGAACTATCGAGAACTTCACGTGCCCGCCTCACGGAGTCTAGATTTCCTATGAGCTGCTTGATTAAGGTGTGAATGTCTCTAGATAACACAGCCACCTGAGACTTTGCTATCGACAGTAGCTCCTCTTGTTCAATGTAGCACTGACGCAGGGCTACGTATTCCTGCTGCCAGGCCATGTTTTCCTCTTCGAGGCTCACAATCCTCGCCTGCTGTGAGTCCCCTTGCGCTGTCAGAGTCCTATTGATTTCCTGGGCGTCACGCAAGGCATCTCGGGTTTCGCTCAGCTCAAGTTGCGTTTTATTGAGGCACATAGGTTCACGAACTTTTCTATGGAAACGACGCGCAGTTCGTGCAACCGAAGAGTTGCTATTATCATCATCGTCCGAAAACTCGGTGCGAGGGCAGACCAGCAATGGGCTGTTACCTACACTGGAATAATCGCATTGCCTTGAGAACATACTTGTTTGTTGCCGCTGCGAAGTCAATTTCATCCCAACTCCACGTGTGCCCACTGCCTCCACGACATTTCTCTTGCGAATGCAATCAGCATCCGGTGCTTCCTGATGGTCACGTCGCTGTTTCTGTAGCTTAGCACGTAGTTTTCGAATTTCTTCCTGGGCAGATTTTAGCAAGCGCTTAAGTTCATCAGCGATCAGTTCACGATTAACAACGGCGTAGTTTTGGATGGTCTTGGCGCGTGCCCCAAAGCGGAGAGAGGACAGAGTCTCCTCTGCGTTGCAAAGAGCCGGGCTACAACAAACCACTAGGGCTGTGCGGAAATTTCCGCCAAGCGAGTCTTTCAGAAGTTTAGTCAACACACTGTTGCGGTACGGTACGTGGTTAGCGTTTTCAGTCAGAGCTTGAATCACCAAACTGAGCGTCAGAAGCGACTTGTTGATGAGTTTCGCCTCCTCCAACACTAGTCCCTCAGATCTAGTTCTAGAAACTTTCTCACTACCTGCCAGATCCACAAGAAAGAGTTTTCCCACCTTGATTTCATTAGAAGCCCGGTCTAACTTCTTCACAATAAAGTTTACAAGGCAGTGACTACGACTACTGACGTCGTTCATGTTCGTCGCTGCAGTTGTCCTACGCTGCAGTCCAGTTTGTATAAGTGACATAGCCTCCTGGGCGGTGGCAATGCGGGGCATCTCGCAACCCTCAACATAGAAAGAGCCCGAGTTTGCGTCCTCTCGCACTTGGAGAGACCTCGAACCCAATTGACTGCCCTGGGATAAGTGAAGAGTTGAAATTCGATTAGATGATATCGGGGCAAGGAGGTCGATTACCTGTTCCATGTAAATTTCTACCAAAAAGAGACGCACCTCAAATTCGATTCCAGAATCAGCGTGTGAGATAAAATAAAAAAGATCATTCACAGCCCTTGGGACGATGCCGGTGGCGTCGCCTAATTCATAGCCCTGTCTACAGTATTGAGAGCTCTCGCTCAAAGCATGAAGCTCTGCTGGGTAGGATGGCGATGTAGCTGACAAGGCTGCCGCTTGCTTGCCATAAACCGTATTCTTTTCGCAGCGTGCATCCATAGAATATCCTGAAGGTTTCCGATCACCTTGGACAACAGGGTTGATGCATTTACGCGAACGAGAAAATGAATCTAAATATGGCTTCGCTTCGAAATTTTTGGGCTTACCTAATCTCTTTGAGGTAATCATATTCGTCTCTTCACGTAAAACGTGACATTCTTCCTCGCTTAGAAAGCATTCTTCAGGCTTTACGCCATAGTCTACCCCTACATAAACTACATTGCTATCAGTGGTATCACTATCACAAAATAATGTACCGTTTGATGATGTTTCGCCAAACATCGTATGCGTTTTTCCACTGCCAGTTTGTCCATAGACAAAGATAGTCCCATTGTAGCCCTGCATAACATCAGCTATTAGAGGTTGCGCAACATTCTTGTAAACCTCTTTCTGATCCGAAATGGGTCTGAAGACACCAGAAAAATTGAACGAATACTGTGCACTCGAGTCAGCATTGCTAGTTTTACCGCTAGAGACCATGAAGCGAGGAGTTCCGGGAGAGCTGACCTCTGTGTTAACTGAGGATGCAGACCACGTGATTGTATCTTTTTCGGTATCATTATCATTAAAGTAAACGCAGGTAAGGGGGTTCTCTGAATTTGAAATCTCGCTCCGTCCTAATGGTCGGACACGGCAATACACTCTAACTGAGTCTTTTTCAGCGTCTGGCCTTGTGGAAGGGTCATCGTGGTTTGAGTGCATTAGATCTATAGTGTCTAAATATATTTTAACGGCTTCGTCCTACAACAGGCGAGTGGAATAAAAGGAGGATGATTACGATGATGAAGACAGCAACAACAGAGTAATAACAAATGGTTATCATAAGAAATAATAATAATGGGACTAAAAAGCGGGGGAAATGTAGAATAAAATTGCGTTTTGGGTGTTTCTTTCGTAAAATGCAGAAATGGAGAAAGTAAGCTCGTTATATTTTATGCTAAGGGGTCAAAAGCGTCTTGGCTGTTTATATTCGAATGCAGAAAAGGGATACGGTAGTTCTTCTATCGCGGTGAAGGAAGAGAAAAAACTGCCCCCTTATGAGCATATTCTAGGTGCTTCCCTGTCGCAGGCTTCTGTCTAAGTTGCTTAGAAGCTGCCATTCCGCCCCACTATAGCCCTTTGTCAGCACCTGCCTCGCATAAAAGATAAGATCCTCTGCATCTTTAACCTCGGTCTGATCAATATCATCAGGCTTCTCTTCTTTCCGGTACCTAGAATCCAACTCCTGCAAGGTTGTCCCCAATTCCAACAACAAAGCACGTTCGATTTCATCGTTATCGTCGGCAAAACTACCAAACTCGTCATTTCTACCATAAGAGTGGCAGAATAAATGGCTCAAACTCCGTTGAACACGCGAGAGGCCCCGCTGAAATAAACCAAAAGGGGTTACCCCACTGTTACGACACTCATCATTCTTTACGAACTCTGACAAATCCAGAAATTCTTTCGAGAGTGGCGAAAGCGCATGTCGAGGATGATGTGTAGGAGCATTATGAATCTCGTTAGTCGAATAAATGCACAACTCGTCGACACTCACACAAGCAATCCTGATCAAAGTCTTAAAGACACCGCACAAAGACTTGGTATGTTGTAAACTGTTGCCCACACCAACAGCACGCTCAGCTACATCGTGTGGACCTCCAGAAATCCTTTTGGAGAAAACAGATGACATTGTATGCGCTAGTGCGGTGGCTGTATCACTAAAAGCGTAAAACAGGGGGCTATGCTGAGAGGAAAAAGATGATACCAGGGGGTACGGTCCCATCGCTGAGCTATTTTCATCCGAGGCCGCGACTACAAGTTCTTTAATCAGGGTAAAGGAGCTGCAATCCACAGATACGGAGCACTCAACCGCCGTACCAGTTGTTGGGTCGACAGTGTAGCACTTTCCAGTAGCCGATACGAGTACCACACGGATGGCGTCTTCAGCCACGTGAACGACGCAGGTGCGTTGAACCAAGGGGTCCTCCAAAATCCCTGCCCACAGGCACCCAACACAAAGCAAGATGTCCGAATCAGCTCTATATTCTCGCGGTGTGACCATATTGGGTAGTGCAGCTTTGGTGTCAGTCTCAACATGCGAAGGCTGACTCCCCCTCAGTCCTCCGATCTCAGTGTGTACAGTAGGGTCCTCCCCAACCCCAAACGAATGGCCTTTACTAGCGTATCCGGTTAGAGAAGAATTAGTAAGCTTTATATCGAGTTGTGTAGAGGATGCGGAGGGTCTACTGTCTGCGTGGGTAGCAGTGGCCACGCTAACGCCCCTTTTACTGGAAAAAGGGATTCGTACTTCATTGTATGCAAAGGGCCTTCGTGATGGAGTTAGTTTGTCCGATTGCTGACATTCTTGGCGTTTTGGATCCAGAGACGCCAGGCTCAGGCTGTGTTGCAGTCTCTCAGCCCGAGAGCTCAACCTCTGGCCTCGCCTGTGCGCAGAAAACGGGAAGTCCTCGCTTGAGCCGACGCTGCTCTGCTCCGTATCCCCTGCCGTCACCGGATCCGCTTTGGGGTGGTCACTTGTGAGCTGCAAGACACACACGCGGCCGTCCTCGCGGGCAGCCACCAGGATCACGGAGCCTCGATCCACCGATACATCGACAAAAACAGGTGAATGAATGCATTTGGTCATTCTACCATGACCGGGGCGTGACCGCTGAACTGAAAGAACACCGGAAAGACTCGTCTGGGGCTTGGTAATCCCTGTTTGAGCCGCTCTCTTTTCCAGCATAATGGCTTCCCCAGGGAGACAGGATAACACCCCTGTCTCTTTAGACAGGGAAGTTGAAACCACATGGGAAGGCGACAACGAATAGGGGCCCCTTTGAGATGAAGAACTCTTTTCGGTGCCTGAGTGCAACTGAAGTGACACATTTTGGGTGTCAGCGCAAGTAGAGATGCTCGGGACAGTGTGCAAGGGCTGATTCTCAGGAGAGGCATGTTGATGCTTCTCCATAGGTAGCGATTGGTGATCCTTGGCCGATGAGGCAACGTAAGTACGCGATGCTTCTTTTTCACGGTACATATTGTCATCATCACCCTCATCGAATTCGGAAACGTCCATTATGGCGTAGGTCGAGGAGGAGGAAGAATAGGAAGGGGACAAAGACAAGAACGAGTCATCTTCTGCATCAGAACATTTGCTCTTGGCTACGTGATGCGAGAATTTAGAAAAATCTGCAGAATGCGTCGGCATCGTCACCTGAACCCCTGTTCCATAAGGATGGACTCGGTGCAAGTATGAGGGTAGGCTAAAGAGCGCTTCAGGAGTGGGAATCTGCTTAGATCCAAGTAAGTGCCAACGAATAGAAACAACCCATAGGGGGTAAATAAGAACGATCGACGGCGCAGCATCGATCGGTGAGGTCTCCGGAAGTTCATCGTTCGTTTTAAAATTCTCGTCGCTAAACATGCAACTCGCAGCATCTTTGTTGCTGATGCTGTGGCCGGAGACCTGATTTGCCTGATAAAAATCCAAAGAAGTAGTAGATAAAGTGATGGGGCAGCGCAAGGAAGTGGAATACCTCTTAGATTGAGACAACCACGACGATCGAGCATAGTATCGGGCACTAGGCCTATCCCTCCCTTCGTTGTCGATCTCACTTCCTACTGTATGCTTGCATTCTCCACGTGATTCATCCTGAAAGCGTTTTGGGGATTTGTCTTTAAAATTTGTTCCAGAGCTAGTGAATTCCTGCCGTCGCCGTGAATTACGCGATGGATTAAAATTATGTCGCATGATAGACTCATCTGCAAGCACAAGAGGCTTGTTCGATTCATTTTCCTTGTCCTGACGACTCCGTAGTGTGCTAAGGGACGCGGGAACTAATACAAGGCTCTGCATAGTCGCTACAAATAAAAGTGGAACTGCTAAATGCCGCGATGGATCAGGCAGTTGAACCGATTCCACATTTTCATCACTACGAAAGCTATTCGTAGCACCCATAGCATGGCATTTTCCTCGCAAAGAATTCGGCCCATCAATCTTGGGACCCGAGGGATTAATGCTTGCATTTGCATTTTCTGAAGGGGGAAACGAAACCATCATAAGGTCAAGTCCAACTGGAAGCGAAAAGCACTTTAATGAAGTGACAGCGTGATGCATGAAGATAAAGAGCTCGCACACCCCAGAGCAGAGGTCATAAATATACAAATGACAATCGTACGAACCGAGAAAAAGCCGGCTCACGTCACCCTCCACCACAATATCCCCACACATACAGTTTGAGGGCACGTGGAATACCTTGGAGGGTTTCTGTGCGCTTTTAGTCTGGCACGCCGTATAGGTGCTGGGGTCCCGAGGTTTGCCTCCACTACTAATAGCACCCGCCCTATTTAAGTCAGGCCCTGTAGCGTCAAGAGAGGTCTTACTCGCGTGCTCTTTATCCCTCTCACCCCACACCTCGTTGTCATGGTTCGGTGTAACAAGAAAGTCGTCCCAAACCTCACATTGTCCTTCCAGGGTTACGAGTATAAGTTGGTGAAGCTCTTTGGAATACATCACGATCGCGATTGTCGCGGTCATAGTATGAACAAGGTTGAAAACGCGGAGGTCGGGCTTCACAACTACCACGTAGCCCTCAGTGGTGCCGATGATGATTTCATCTACACCATCCTCGTCGACATCACAAGAAAGTAGTGCGTTGGGTAACACAGAGCCCTCCGATGCGATCTTTCGAAACTCCCAACTGTCTAAAAGAATGGATGGCAGACGGCGATGCATCACAAACGGATCAGCGGAAAAGTGCGACATGTCTGGAAACTTATTTTGTGGCATAGTGTCTTTTGAATTTTTCCCGTTACAGTTAGACCTGTTGGTTGCAACTTCTATATCGAATGAAATGGAAAGGGTGCTCATAAAACGCAAGGTGGCTAAATTTCATGGGCCATATATATCCATATGTGGCAGTTATAAGAGATGAATTTAAAAAATGATTTGCTTCTTTCCTTCCATAAGGATTTAGTTCAAAATTTCAAAGTACTCAAGGTATAGCAGCTCAAATGAGTGCACTTAAATCTTCGGCGTGTATCGTGCTTAAGCCTATCCCTAGTCCTCTGATGTTGTGAACAACGCAACACACCTCACTACAACTGATTTAGATTGAGAGACATTCTTTATAGCTCCAACAATATTGTTGCTAGCTGTTCAGAAATCGATCCTACCCCTAAGACACCACTATAGATGAACAAGAAAACGAGCGACTTTTCTCTTTTTATTGTCCAGTGACTTACTACTTTCCCATACACCAACGAGCATCAACTCCATATTTCAGCTATACAACAAAAGTAAGAATGAGGACGTAGTTGCCTCAAAATTTTTGTACACGAGGATCATGGCGACCTGGCGGATAGGCGCTTGGCACGACATTGCTCTTCTCAAATACCGCCGCATACGTAACTTGGGATTCGTTCAAGAGCATAGACTTGAGCCGCTGAAGTTCTGTGTGGATGTGTGCAACTCGATTGGATGCCACCCGCCGGCCACAGTTCACAAAATTCACAAAATCTTGAACAATAAAAGGCGTAGCACACGGGCGTTGGATGACTTCGTGTTTCATAGCCTCCTCTAAAGCTTTTTCGTTAAACGGACCATCCTCTGGATGCGCCTCCAAGTGTTTGATCCACTCAGTACGCTTATGCGCCTCAAAAAGCTGCAGATACTTCTTGGCCATTTGTGCATAAATATGTCGATGTTGGCGTGGGTGCATGAGACTCACAGTTCCATTTTTAAGGTCAAAGGCACTGTAGTACTCCGCAAACTTAGTCAAACAAAAATAAACCGCCTCACCAAGCTTTTCATCATCCCCACTCATCTCATTGTAGATGGGCGGGAGTGAGAAGGAATCTATCGCTTGCAGAGCATCTGGCAGCGTGAGCTCACCGAATTTCCCAGTAGGTGCACTAAAAACAGGTAACAGCATCAGCTCCTGAAGGACCATCAGGGCCATGGTTGTCATGGTAAAGCTGTTGAATGTACCTTTATCAGGCGCAATCACCTCTCGTGCCTTTCCCCACTCCTTGACCGCATAAATGTATGCGCCGTAGAAGTCAGGATAGATACCCCGAATGGCTGCTAAAATTTTAGAATTCTCGATGCCACCCAAATTGCCGATGCTTACGTCACAGTGAATCCCACTAACAACATCGACGAATTGAACCACCGGTATGCGGGCGCGAATGAAACGCACATTCTCCATGCCCATTGCGGATGCTTCCTTTGCGAAACGAATGAGACGCTTGTTGTTCTGGTCATCTACACGCTCGATTCCCTGCAACCACGGTGAAAAGTTGCGGTAGGTGAGGGACATATCCGCATCGGAGTCTGGCTTGCAGAAACCGCTGACATGGGAACCAAAGAGACTGATATGGCCCTTATTAACGCAGCGGATGGCAATATCCAGCACACGGGACTTGAGGTCGGTGATCGTCTCGACGTCAGATGGCTGCAGGGACGATGAGCGATAGCTAGCCATCAGTTCACGTATGAAGCGGGTCTTACACGCATTCATTTCAGGTACGTCTAATATTATATGACTATAATATAGTGTGTACACACACACTTCATGAATTTAAAGACTACATAGGGATAAAATACGAATTTATTTTGTATAATTGAATCAAGAATGCCTCAATTTTACCACACATGCAGCGAAATAGAGGAAAGAGATACACTAATGATAAAGAGTTAACTACCCATGCGGTGCACACGATCCTCATGATCCACTAAGATACAGAATGTGTGAATGAATATATCACTTACAGATTGCTCGGCCAGTAGGAGATGGAGGCGCATTGGTAAACTCAATAGCCCCCCAACGGCTGAGCTGGTGGTGATGACGATGCACCATACCTACCCCCTAAATAGTCCATGCTGCTACTGAGGCCTTGCCTAATAATACTGGAGCCAGCTTCACTTGTGGTATCATGACCTTTGCTGTCCACATTATCATTGCCCCCACTGTTCGAGCCATCACACCAACGTTCAACCCCTTTGTCGACAATTTCACTGGGCAATGGCACCTTTATGGTTAGACCAGGACCACGCGATCGCCGCATCTTGCTCCGAAAGAAACGCAAAAGGAAGAACTTAGTAAGCAAAGGGAAGAGGAAAAAGTCCTTGATTCCCAATGGGGTCAACGTCGTATGCATGGTCATGTCAAAAGACGGGTCGGACTCCAGCCAAATGGTGGCATCCAAATAAGGTTTCCCTGGAAGCTCCATCGTGGCGGAGCCGTACTGCAAAGTAAGCAACACGCGCATATGCGCGCGAAGGTTCTTCACATTGCCCACACTCACATGCACCGGTAGATGCCGACCTCGCATAAACGAAAGATCGGCCTGCAGCGACACCTCCAACCCCCCGCTATACTCCACCTCGAGCTCCACTTCGATTGAGATGGGGTCTGGGAGGCCACCCGCGCCACTCTTCGAAGGGGGCGGGATCGTGGGGGAGGAGGGGTGCATGTGCGGGGAGAGCGCCGTGGGGCGCCCCCCAGCTCGGGCCGCTCCCGTCGACACCTCCGCCGCGCCCTCAGCCTCCCCAGCGCTCAGACCGGACGCCGCGAACTTCGGATTGCCCCTCCCCGTCATCGCGCCATCGTGGGCGGCGGTGGGGGGAGCCGCCCC